TTCAGCCTAACTAATGATCACATTAAGGAACTGGACTTTTTAGGGATTTTTGGGCGTTTGCACTATGGTTTTAGATTGTGCTTCTTACCACAGTTTTGGGACAGATGAGTTTGACAAAGAAGCCTCTTCTGTCTTCAAATGCAGTCATATGGTGTGGGGATAGCAGCTCTGTTTTTGTGGTCTTAGCGTGCCTTCCTCTCAGTCCTATTTTGAGCCAACAGAGAGAAACCCTCTCAGTGTTGTATTTGAGAAGTCCTTCTATGGTTCGAGTTTTGTGATTAAAAAAAAAACAAAACATTTTGACATTTTGATGGCACTCCCCTGGAGCTGAAAAAGAGCAACCACCAACCTCACCACAGAGCGTCAGATAAGCTCATCATACCATACCCTTAGTTTAGGGCCTGTGAGTGTGTGAGATAGAAAATTTACTGTAGCTTGTTGGGGTTGTAAATTATTTCACAATATAGCTGTCACTTAATCTTTTGTTGTTTTGTGTTTGTTTTTGTTTTTCTTTATTAACAACAGGGAATCGTGGCAGCAGCTGCTGTACATGTGGTTGTCATTGTTAACAGTGACTGCATTGAAAGGCATCTAATTCTGCCATGGCCTGGTTTTGTTGTTTGAGACAAATCCTTCTGTGAAGAAATCACAGCGCCTTGTCCACAGTAGCTCGAAGAGTGAGTCTGGCTTCCTCATGTTTCAGCCTGTTCACTACAGTCCAAATGCTTCAGCCACTGATTGCCAGTAGGTAGTAAAGCAGTAAGCAGTCCTCCTTCCTGTGAGTAGCAACTACTGCAAACAGTGTGGAAGGGATGGGGGGAGGAAATATCTCCCATTCGCTGAATGCTGCCTGCCTTTGACCTGAATGCCAAACACAGAAAGCCCTGCCAGTAGTTTTTTTTTTCTCCTTTTAAACATCCCCTCTTTTTTTTTTTTTTTTTAATAATCCTCTTTTACTTTCCTTTTCTCTTTGTGTGGTGTTGAATGAGCCTCTGAGCCTTCCTCCCTTAGTGAAGGGAGTTGTGAAGTGCTAGTGAAGCCCAGCTCAGCAGTCTGTCGCTCATCTTTCCTCTTTTTACTCTCTCAGCGGAGGAATGGGGGGTCATGAGCTCTCAAGCGTTTTTCTTTTTTAATCCCAATCTCTCCCAAATCTGTTTGTTTTCTTTTGTGTATGTACTTGTACGCTTTCTCCCAGGAGAAGCGGTTTTTATTCAACCACCTGTCTGTCTGTGAACCATATCAAGGAAAATGAGCTAGTGGCTCTGATTAAATGACAAATGTATAATAATCTTTTCTGTTTATTGAATCCAGTTTTCACCCCCAGTTGACTTAAGCCCAAATGGTTTAAAACCTGACTTTCAGATTGATTTCTGTATAAGCTGTCCTCATGGATTTCATTGTCCCTTCAAGAGGGCATCAGAATGAGCAATGGTATGGCTGCCACTCTGACATACATGATTGCCCATAGAGGAGGATGGTCCTGATTAGGAGTGGCATTCCCATCACTCTGCCTAATGAGCAAGGATGTCAAGGAGATAGAGAAATTGGTATTATGGAGGCAAAGGGAGGCGAAGTACTCATGTGAGGAGGGGAGAATATCACGTGTTATTCTGCTAATTTACATTAGGTGGAAAGAAATGACACTAAGGTAGAATGATTGTCGAACTTGTGACGTATATTAATGCAAATCTGACCATTTCATTTTTGTAAAAATGAAATTTTCCTTGATCAATTCAAGGTGAAAAGGACTTAAAACAGAGTGTGTTGAGTGTGTTTCTGATTTAAAAAGTAAGTCAAACGTATGGACCACACACTGACAATTATACCCTGACCAGGAGTTTTAAAAAATCTGCTAACGATATATCAAGTGATAGTAATGTTTCTTAACAGATACCTTGCAAATTTACACAGTTATACTAACTGTACACTCACTCTTTTAGCAAAGTGTCATTTCTTCAGTGTTGTCACCAGAAAAGAAATATTCAGATATTTATATTTATTTAAAATAAATGAAAGTTCAGTCACCACAATAAAATTTTCCCATGTGTTTAGTGCTAATGATGCAGGAAGAAATCACTGAAACCGTCAAATAAGTGAGTTACAAAGCCAGATGACTTCATGTCTACAGCTTTTGGTTTGTTTGTAAAAAGGCAGTGTAAACCAAACGGCAACCACCGGGGCTGAAAAATGCAGTGAACTGAATGGCCACCTGAGTCTGGCTCCAAAAGCGAGTCTGTCCCCATAGACCTGGAAGGCCTATGCTCAGGTCTCCAATGACATCTTATGCATCTTTTGCTATTTAGAGGAGGAAAATGGAAAAAGTAGAGAATCCCAAACAAAGCCAGGTATAAATACCACTGAACACATCTGATCTGCTTTGTATTTCAATATCTCAAACCTAGTGACAGCGAAATACCGTGGAGCATTTTCCCAGCAGATGTCGTCCGGTTTGCTCATCCAACTGTCCAAGCCAGGAGGAATAAATGCAATAAAACGAAAGGAAAGTAGTAGCTTGGTCTAATCCAGCAGCTATAGCCTGAGGTGGATAGAGGCCACAGCTCGCTCGCATACCTCCTGTCTCCTGGAAGAGCTGACATCACCATCCCTCATCTCGTCATAAATCTGCCGTTCCACTTTTATTTCCTGCGCTCTCCAAAGAATCACAGCTGCCACCATTTTTCTCTCATCCTCTATGTTGAACTGACCCCTCCACCATCTTCCTCCTGCTGCCTTTGCTGCCATAAAAGTTCTGGAAAGTTGAGTAACGTAACTTGTGGTGACCTTAACATAAACTCTCCTAGTGCTGTGTTGCACAACTCCCACATCCCTTGCCTTTTCTCCTGTCCCTGTCCCAGCCTGCAAAGCAATCCTGTTTGACAGCTTTAGTGACGGCAAGAAGAGGCACATTCACAAGTGCAACGCTCTATAATACAAACTGTTTGTATTTTTTAACTGCTTGTAGAGACGCAGCTAAGCTAGACACTAGACACACTCATGCAGTGACACACAACCCTGCTTTCGGTTGTGACTGTAACGGTAAGAATGTATTCAGTAAAGCCTCCGCTGTGTCTGTGGTTGTGGCCTAATTGAAGTGGAATTGAATATCTTTGGTTGGAAAAAAAACAGCCAGCACTTTAGAGTGCTCCCATTTGCATTTCATAAAATGTAGCCTCCACAGAAGATACCAGTCTTTCCACCAGTAATGGAATCCTTTTTTTATATGGTCTAATTTGTGCAGCTACACATCTCATGAGTCATAATTCTGTTTCGTGGTTTCACTTTATGTGCTCTGCCCTCTCATTAACGGATAAAATGTAAGTGACGATAGGGGTAAGGGAATTTACAATCCACCTGCATCTTAAATGTGTGCTGCCGCATTTTTCTTCCTTGCATCTAGTTTCTGGAAAACTCTATATTGTTTTACACGTATACTGAATATGCCTGACTAACCCACAGGCTTTCTAGCACACAAATGGATCAATACTGTTTCCATCTAACTGTGTTTGACTCAGCAGGGGTATATATTTGGAATAACAGTATTGGTTATAAATTAATTCACATAGCAGCATTAATAAGCTCTGTTAACAGCTCTGTTAATATGTAATTGTGTTGTACAGGATGTTTATTGTTTCTACTCCTGAAGGGTGTTGGTGCCATAAATCAACACACCCCACAAACGCTACTGACAGCTTTACATCAGATATGAAAATAGACATTTGACACACACACATTGTTTACAACATGACTATAAATTCTGTATCTTTTGAATTCACCCTCATCTTCAGAGAGCTACTTTTCATCTGCATCATTTTTACTTCCTTTATTTATTCCAGTGATTCCAGTTTCCAGCCACAGACTGTTAACTTTGCAGCAAGCTAAATATAAACTGGATTGCTCAGATGGTTCTCATACCATGAGACGCTTTTTTTTTTTTCTCAGAAAAGGTTTTCACAGAACAGGAATAAACTGAATTACGTCAAACTTTCTCAGTCCCTCCACACATATACCCAAACAGACAATTTCCCATTTTGGCTGTCTTCTGAGCAGATGCATGTAATTTCTCGGTTAAGGTCAAATCACCTCCCCTAAAGCCCGATGAAATAGAGCATATAATCGCTTTCTGTCTTTGCGTGTGTATGTGCGTTTAAGAGAGAGAAAGCATGCAGAATGAGCACATAAATTGATTTTGTGTGTGTTTTGATTTTGTGCGTTTTAAAGTTTTTCTGATTGTGCTGCCCTCTACCGAAGAAGCCCTTTTCAGAGGTTTTGAGTAGTAGAGGTTGAGAGTACTTTGGCTGAAGCCCATGGGCCTCATCATGTTTGTTTTACTGTTTTCTTCCGGTGCAGGCTGTGGATGTGACTCCTCTGTGTTTTGTAATTGTTACACAGAGGTGCGGTGATCACGTGGTCAGCAGTTTGATATTTAGCCATAATCTTTGTCCAAGGAATTATCATTTTTAGCGCCAGTGTAGGCACTGAATATTACCACGGACATTAAACTCATATGTAGCCTGGATATGTAATTTAGCCTCGTTGATAGACTGGCAATCTGTCCACTGTGTGTCCTCTCTAATGCCCAGTGTGAGCTGGGATAAGAGGTTTAAAAATTCTGTGCAGGGATGGATATGGATTAATTTGTAATGACTTTTCACTTGTCACAGTACAACTGAGCCTCACACACACACAAGTAGACTCTACATTAGATATAATAATGCATTTACAGACAAGTGAAGGTCATATGATAGGTATGTTATGCAGTCTTGTTTCAATGATGCCCGTCATGTTGTCTTTTTAAAATGTAAATCGCCTAATGGGTTTCTTAATTTTGTAGTATTTCTTAATAATTAATCATTAACTTATTAAACACACCTTTCTTCCCCCAGTCGCTTTTTGAAGGTGTGGCAGGCAATGTGACAAGTGGCTGTCTGAACCAGCATATATCACTCCATTTATAAGTCGTGTTACTCGTCGGCTCACCCCAGTCCTCCTCTTCTCCACAGGGGGACTCCATGAAAGATGACAGAGGAGGTGATTGTTGTAGCCAAGTGGGACTACACAGCCCAGCAGGACCAGGAACTTGACATCCGTAAAAACGAGCGTCTCTACCTCTTGGACGACTCAAAGACCTGGTGGCGTGTCCGCAATGCCGGCAACCAAACGGGGTACGTGCCGTCGAACTATGTCGAGCGCAAGAACAGCCTGAAGAAAGGCTCACTGGTGAAGAACATCAAAGACACGCTGGGTAAGAAGAATTCAGTTTCATATTGGTCAGTATGTGTGCATGCATGAGTGTGTTAGCCTGAGTCTCCTCAGGAGAAAAATTATTGCTCTCCCTGTGTCTCTGTCCTAGCTGGGCGCTGTCACTGTGCACTCCAGGGATCCTGTTGAGTTGGCCGTTGCTCTCAGCTGTCAGCACACTGTCTCTCAGTCCCCCGGTCATGACTTGAATCCTTTAGACTGTGGATGTAGCTGCCAGCTTATGAGTGTATATATGTGTATATAGTATGAGTGGCTATAGCTCAAGAGTTATTAATACATATCTTGGCAAGACAAAAACAAGTAGGCTATTTATAAGCCACTCAAAAAATGAAGGTTCTTTTATAGCCAGCTATAAAAAAAAAAAAAAAAAACTACTGGGATCTAAGAAAATTAAATGGTTACATGACAGAGGTCGCTTTCATATTCATATAGTGTTATTTATAGTTCCTCATCTCATTTTGCCATTTAAGTACACAAAGGACAACAAACCGTCTTTCTGTCAAAGCTTTCGTTCCCCCACCACCACTGAACAGTAAAACAGGACTAGCATGTTATTTCAGAGAAACACAGAATACTCATGTGATGCATTTTTAAAAATGTCTTTTAAACAAATACATAATTACACAACTTATCACATAAAAGTATTTTATACCGTAGAGCCGGACTGTCTGCCTTCAGCCACAGCTTCACAACATCTCTTTATGTTGATCAGGCGTCATGAGATGGCTTATAACTGATGATCAAATGAACTAATACTAATGTTGGGGTGTGTGTGTGTGTGCGCGTTTGTGTGCGTTTGGGTGAATCTTAGGCGTAAAAGCACTTTGTTCTGTGCTCAGGCCAAAAAGCTTTATATACCTGAAGTCCATTTCACTCTGCACTTTCCAATGAACATAGATATTGAATGAAATAGCCCCATTTTCCACTCAAACAAGCTGTGAATGTGCAGCGATTTAAAGCACATTATGTAGTCTACAGCAGTCACATCAAGGACCCCTAAACTGACAGAACATCTTTCGTTTCTGTTACTCAGGCATCATGAAATTGGCTTATAACCAGTTTGTAATAGATATCAGGCTTCCCAACAACATATGATTTAATTTATATTATTTTGAATTTGGTGGTAAGGGCACAGCATTACTGGGGCTACTGAAGCAGCTAATCACCCATAGAGTACAGATGTGACGGACAGAAAGCAGTCTTTACAGAATGAGATGGCATCAGTTAAAGATGTGCGCTAAACCCGGGTCTGTTGTTATATAGTTCAAGTCAAGAATGAAAGAATTAAGATAAATATGACCAGCTTGCTCTACTTTCTTTTAGCGGGAAAAGAGCTGGATGGAGCACTGCACAGATATTCATCTGTTTTGACAGTCTTAGCATCCAATTACCAATTTTTGTTGGGACGGTACAGGGAGACGGAGAAACGTGGTTTCTAACAAGACAGAATGATCAAGAAGTGCAATCATTATAAAAATAGTAACTGCGTGGCCCTGAAAGGCAGCCATATTTAGAGTTGGGGGGGGGGGGGGTGAGGAGAGAACAGAAAGAGATGAGGGCAGTCTGGTCTCGTGTGTTGATTCCTCTTGGCTCTGTGGATCACCTCAGGGAAACTCTGCAGCTTTATGTGGGCCAGCGTGGCACAGCCTGCCACTGTCACCCTAACCAGGGTTCATTGTGTGCAGAGACAACATGCATCTCCCCCTCACTCACACCCCCCTCTTCAATACTGTCCCCATCAGCCCCTTTCTCTGTCACTGTAGGTCTCTGCTTTTTTATGATCAGTAGATTGATTAGTGGAGAAATCAGCAGCTTAATGGTTACATGCTGCAATGATGGATTCCTCTGTCCTCGACTATGTTACAGATCGACTACAACATTATGGCCAGTTCCATTTCAGTCTTAAGTAGTTTGCTTCCAGCCAGTAGCTCTTTAGTGTTAAAAGCCTGAGCAAATCCAATAGGCAAGAACATTTTCACGATGAGGTGATGCGCAGTAGGTTAGGTCAGGGGCTAATGGTACTCACACTCTTGAAGAGAGAATCTGATTGGCTGAGAGTTTGATTACTTCATCCCATCTATAATCTCTGAGTCTCTGGCTCTTTTTCTCGTTTTTTTCGGCCCTGCAGTATTCCACATTGTGATCATGGACCTTGCTGATGGTCTGTACTGTTATCTCCAGCCTTTCCTACTCATTTACTGTGCTTTAATGTGGTTGTATCATTGACATTCATCCAGGCAGAATTGAATTGTAAATGGCTGCATGCTGCTTTGTGCCCCCATTTCCTCTCGCAGGAAATAAAAACAGTAATGGGTGAAATAATTCAGCCGAGGTCCTACTCATTGGTAAAACTGGGCCAATACTCACCAGTACAATGAACTGGCAAGTTTAGATTTCTGTCCTCCTGAGTTTTGCTGCCTCCGCTGCCATCGGTGTGTGTGCGTGGGTGAATGTGAGGCGTAAAAGCACTTTGTTCTGTGCTCAGGCCAAAAAGCTTTATATACCTGAAGTCCATTTCACTCTGCACTTTCTAATGAACATAGTTATCAAAAGCGTTGAGCGAAATAGCCCCATTTTCCGCTCAAACAAGCTGTGAATGTGCAGCTGTGTAAAGCACATTATGTCTACAGCAGTGGTTGTCAAACCTTTTCACGTCAAGGACCCCTAAACTGACACAAAGGTAGACCATGGAACCCCATTTGATAAGATTTTGTCACAGAGTGCCCCATCAGATAGGATATTTAAGGTGATTTATTACAGAAAGTGTATAAAACCTTAGACCAAATAGTCATACATTTTGTCATTGTGTTACTCCTGGATGGAATTATAGTGAAAATAAATGATTTCCCTTTTTGCTGGGGACCGCCCCTCAAGGACCCCTGGACATCACTTTAAAAACCAGGTTTACAGTAGTTTTGTCAGAAAGCACTCAAATTTGGTTTGATATTCACTAGAGCCTCCAAAATCATTGTCTATAAATGGTCTAAACAGAGCCTGGCAGGTGTCAGGGGTACAGTTTTTTTTTTAAATCTTTTGTGCACATTAATTACAATTCATGTTTTGGGTTAAGACTTTGAGATTTGTGAAGTGTTCTTTTGGCCTAGAGGTCTAAGCATAGACTGTATATAAGAAGTTGACGTAGTCATCGTGACGTCACCCGTTGGTTTGTGGACTGCCGTTTTGAAGCCTCGAGTTTGGCCGATAGGCCACCGCCATGTTGACTTTTTGCAACCAGGAAGTGCCCGGAAGTGACGATACAGTGGAACTAACGGTGTGCGGAGCTAGCTAGCTTGCTTAGCTAGGTGCAACTGTAACTCATGTTAACTGTCATTTTAACAGGGCTGATAACTTTGTCTAGCGAACAACAGTCTTAAAACTAAATGTACTCACCGGGGAAAGTGAACAGCCAACTCCTTTTTCAACGGCACTGGTTAAATTTACACAGTGCCGATGGGTACGAGTCGGCTCTAGCCTGATTGACAGGTTGCCATGGTAACGACTTGTCAATCATAGATAATCCCGCCCTGAAACATACTCTGCTTTGTGGTCTATTTTAAAATAAATTTGATAATTTACAGAAACAACATCATGTTGTATTGCAGAAGACTTGAAACTAGCGACTGAGATCATAAACTCATCAGGAAAGTTTTTTACTGAGGTAAGCTGGACTTCTTTTTGCAACCAGAAGAGTCGCCCCCTGCTGGCTGTTTGTTTCAGGGACATCCGCGTTCGCATCAGATCGCTGACCGGAAGCTTCCCGCTTGGGTCTAAGACAAATACAGGATGTACAACCACACATCCCCTCTTTGATTCTAGCATGTGACCCTTGTTGCACATCATACCCCTTCCCAGCAATGGCGGTATAGTGGTGAGCATAGCTGCCTTCCAAGCAGTTGACCCAGGTTTGATTCCAGGCCATCACAGATGTTTCCTTCTTCTTTTGGGGCGACATTAGCGCAGTCCGCGGGAACCGGAGGGTTGCGCCCTAAACCACTAACTGCTCTCCTGGTGCTGCACTACGGCTGACCGATGCTCCTAATTAGGATGGGTTAAATGCAGAGATTCAGGGCTTAAAGTTCTCCGGCGCTGTGCCGCTTTTGTATTCGTATAGGATCGTCTGGACCTTTACCAACATAACAAGGCCATTTTTGTCGGAATGAGTAAATTGAAATTTACATTATCATAATTGTTTTTGAATGTTTTACCTCAGATTTGTTAAGTGATCCCACAAAATGACAGTGTAACTGTGGCACCAGCTATAAACAACGTGCTAACTTCGACAACCCAGCTGTATTCTAATGTTAACTTAGCTTTTCTTATTAGCTAGGCTCCTTACATGCTTGCTAATAACTTTTTCGAAGCTGGGTGTCCAACAGTGTTGGACAGATTTGTGCAGCGGTGTTCATGGGGGAGAGAGAGAGACGAGCGAACGAGAGCAGAGGGGGGGGGGGGGGATGAGCGAGAGGATTTGCGCTACAAATGCGCTACAGCTCTCTGCAATCAAATACGATTTTAAATAGGCCTAGTAAAAAATAATCGCAAATCAATATGTGGCGGTCAGCGTTGATATTGTGGCCACAAATAAATGAATGTATGGGAAACACTGGATCCACTGTTCGGCATTAAGTATTTGTTCTGACCATAAAAATAGTTTAAAACCACAATTAACCATCTGGTTTCCTCAACTTTCACTTGGGAGCAAAATTCTGCCTTATAATGATTTGACATTTATTACAAGAATAATCGATATTGAATGATGTGATGTTTTATCGTGATAACATTTTCGGCCATATTGCTCAGCACCTATATTTTCAGTATGCGGTGGCAGAAAATGTTACCAGAATGCTGGGAATGAACTGTTTAATGCTAAAAATATTCTGGGGGAGGATCCCCAGACCCCACTTCATATATTTCCACATTGAACGTTTTATCAAACCAGTGTACAATTATCTTCTCGTCTTCTTCTTGTGAACCCAGAATTGTATTTCTTCATCTTTCGCAAGCTAAGTGTATGTCAAACCCCTAATCTCAGTCCCTATGTCCCCGTCAGTTTTCAACACAAAGTTACGGTCTTGCCCCCTACCCTCCATCTTTGTTGTAAACCCCGAACACATTTCAGGCACAGAAACATTTCTTGCTTTAAGCCCTGAGAGATTGCAGAGTGTATAAATTGTATGTGGCCAAAAAAGTTGATTATCATCATGTTTTCAGCCATGCTATCACCATGGCTCTAGAGATGTTGGTGTGTTCCATGACAGTGGTTTTAGAGTGAAATGTCAAACAACTGTTGGACAGATTCCCATGAAATTTGGTCACATTCATGTCCCCACCTGGGATGAATTGTAATATCTTGAGTAACCTGAACTTTTTGTCAATAAAAAAAAAAAAAAAATGCTCACCGCAAGAAACATGCTACGAGCCTTAGCCTTGCTCATCTGCATCTCCCCTGTAAACAATTTAATGAAGGCAAAAAACTTAGTAATTTCAACCTTTAAATGTCTAAATCTTGCGCATAATTCTTACCGCCAAATGCTGCTTCTTATTCCACTTTAAGCATTGCAATTTATTTTCATTTGTCACCTCGAGTCTTTTGGCAGGTTTTACTGCTTTTACACACGGTAATGCCGTTAGATCCTGTGGCACTTGTGGAATATTGAGCAACACAAGAATTATCTAAAGGGCACACTGCTCATCTGTGATTCACTCAAAGTAGGCTTTTAAATCACAGCCCTCGCTGACACAGTGCTAATGCTTCATTTAGGGCCAGGTTGTGCTTTTTCATTACTGCACACACTTAAATGTGTCTGGTGGGTGGTGTGGCCTCATTTATTACAGTATCTTCCACACCGCGCTCCACTGTAAGCTACAGAGTGAAGCAATATGCTGCAACATGCAGTCATCAAGGATTTCATCAACTCTCTTTCCTCTGAGTTGAAGTCCTCTGTGCTTGAAAAAACTAGTCTCCTTTCTCAAGATGAAGAGCTAGGTGAAGATTGGAAGGAAATGTGTGGGAGGAGGGAATATAGCCTGCTGCTGCTCTAACCAGCAGGCCATTACCTTGAAGTGGAAATGAGTGAAGCGTGTGTGTGTGTGTGTGTGTGTGTGTGTGTGCGCGCGCGCGCGCGTACGTGCCTTTAAAGTGTTTTCCCTTAGCTCAAAGAGAGTGTGTGTCCACTACCTTCTTGTGGGTCTCTGCTCTGTGCTCCATGGCAGCGACGGTCTATTTCATTTTTCCTAAGGGATAACCTGAAGTAGGCCTAAGAGTCAACCTTTGTCTCTGGCTTACAGTTAGGAGATACAGACACACACAGATAGCAGGATACATACTGCTATCCATAAACATGATCCGCTTGTTATTCCTGTCTCATCCTTCTTGTTTGCGTTTTTGTCAGCTGTGGCCTCAGATGTGTGTCGTGTGTGTGTGTGTGTGTGTCGTGTGTGTGTGTGTGTGTGTGTGTGTGTGAGAGAAACAGCTGCCAAGGGACCCCTCGTCTTTTTCCTCAGCTCTCCTCCTCTTCTCTCTGCCAACAAGTTTCATGCTACTCTGTGTGAACCCAGCAGTTTTCCAAACAATGTAAATGTTCTATTCAGCAATGACATTTCTGTGGCATTCCAGCAGGCTGTGTGTGGGGGCAACTGGGTGATTAGCTGTCATGAAACTCACTTCAGTTAGTTGTGGCACACGGGAGCACATGCTGACACCAGCCTCAACTGTCAAGTGAATAGTTTAAATGTTGTCAACCACATAGTGTATCATTACTATTTTAACATGAATCTGTAGAGGAGACCCTCCCTGGTTATGTTCAGCTGAGACACTTTAGAAACTTAAGGTCTCATTGAAGTGCGCAAACACACGTTTAAAGCCCTTTTTTGAGAGTACATGAATGGAAAAGTCAGAGACAGGTAAGACAGGAGCTGACTTTGATCCTGGATATGCCTGTCATTATCAAGCCCATGGTGCCTGCTCCACTTTTCAGTCCCTGTCTACACTACATATTCTCAGACTTTTGATTAGTATAGATGTGTATACGGCGTGTCGACAGAATACCAAGTAGATTAAGAGCTTTCATGTCATTGGGTATGAGTAAAAGGACATGTGGGGCGCTCTGTGCAAACTGTGAGATACATTCACTTCTGTGTTAATTCTAATATCAGGAGTATTAATCTGTCCTTCAGTGTTGAGGTTTCTCATAGGATATCCTGTATCCTCTATTTTTAAATCAGATTTGCTTCTGAGGGCCCATTGGTGCAACTTGCAACCTCAATTAGTTTCCTGCTGACCTAAACTGCCTTCTCCTACCCGTGGAGCTCAGGACTTTCCCCACCTTCATTCTTCACAGCTTCTCACCACTGCTCTAATTTTGGATTACATTTAAAGCTTAAAGCCGTATATTCTCTGCTGTATATAAGCTCAGTATTTTCATATTAACAATGGATGAAATGACTGCTTGTGAAACAGGTCACTTGTAGGGACAAACCCACAGAGAATGATTACCTGACTCTGTAGCTCCGCACAGTGCTACTTTGCATTTTAGCATATTTTGATTCATTTTTATTTTAACATAACTGTGTTGGTTCACTCTCACTATATTCATCAGAGCTGTTTACAGACACAGCAGGCAGCTGTTTTTAGTGACAAAGCTCAGATAAACCCACTTCTTGCATCCTGCCCAACACCAAAATACAGACAAAGTTAGCATTTAGGAGACCAAAACAGCTGAAAAGAGGACGAATATGAAATTTACATTTGGACACAAACACGGTTCCAAATAAGTGCTTATGTTGCTCCATGTCTGCTGGGTATGTAAATAAGCAACTGTTTGGCAACAGGTTAACCATATCAACTTTATAAAACGAAAATATATCAATGTTATGTTTACAGTTGTGGCCAAAAAAAACAATTAATGTGGGTTTAAAATTAATCTGGTTTTCTGATTTTTTTATTTCTGTTTATACTGCAGGTTTGGGAAAAACTAAGAGGAAGACAAGTGCCCGTGATACTTCCCCAACACCAAGCTCAGACACAGAGTACCCCTCCAATGGCAGCGGGGGTGGCGTGGTGGGAGGAGGAGGAGCTGCTGAAAGAATCTACGACCTCAACGTCCCCGCTGTGGTCAAATTTGCCTACACAGCAGAGAGGGATGACGAGCTGACCCTGGTGAAAGGCTCCAGGGTCGTCGTGATGGAGAAGTGTAGTGACGGCTGGTGGCGGGGCAGTCAGGCGGGCCGCGTGGGCTGGTTTCCCTCCAATTATGTCCAGGAGGAGCTCGGAGGGGTGGATGACAGAGGGGAGGGAGACTCCTCACAGGGCTACCATGGAGGCTCCCAGGGTACTTTGTTGGCCAATGGGCGTGCAGGCGTCCGTGATGAAGTGCTCCACTTGGTTCAAACACTCTACCCCTTCAGCTCTGTGACAGATGAGGAGCTGAACTTTGAAAAGGGAGAGGTCATGAAGGTGTTGGAGAAGCCTGAGAACGACCCGGAGTGGTGGAGGTGTAAGAACTCACGTGGCATGGTGGGCCTGGTACCTAAAAACTATGTGACGGTGCTGGACGAGCGGCCGGGCCTGTCCTTCGCCACGCAGAGCTCCCCACAGAACCGCTCTGTGGCACCGGCACGCTCAGGGAAGTTCGCTGGGAGGGATTGGTACTACGGCAACATCACCAGACAACAGGCCGAGTGCATACTCAACGAGAGAGGAGAGGAGGGCGACTTCCTTATACGGGACAGCGAGTCATCGGTGAGCCATTGGGGTGAAGTCATGATTGCATTAGGAAGGCTTGGAGAAATTCATATTAGAAGAGGAGATTTAATAAATGTGAATAGTTCCTGCACCGAACCCTTAGGAGTAGAAATGTAGAAAGTGAAGCCTTTAAATGATTATTTGCATATATGCTCAGGCCAGGAAGAGTCAGCATAGGAATTAAACCTATTGATTACTCTGTTTTAAAAAATCCTTACATTTTCTTTGTGATTCTATTCTGCAAAAACATATATATTTCTTTATATTCGTATGTCACCACTAGAAATTAACATGTGAAAGAAACAACAATCTACTATATAAATTGTGATGAAATAATAGAAGAATAAATGGAAACAAAAAGAAAATTAAACTGAACCAGGAAGGAAAATCTGCTGCTGGTACAGTAGATGCATCAGAGAAACACACATAATAAGGAAAATAAGTGCAAACAATAAAGTTGCATGGATAGTGACTGCAAACAAAATCAATCACAATGAACAAAAAAGTAGTATAACAGCCTATCTAATGTCTTTTTACAGTTTACAAGAAAGCAGCAGCTGAAAATTATAACTATGCAAAGTATGCTATTCTGAATGATACATGTTGCTCCAGATAACAGATTTTTTTTTGGTTAACAGATTTAAATTGTTAAGGCATTCAAAAACATACACACAGAAGGTGCTTACCTCTGTCCCTGTGCTTCAAAATGCATTCTGTGTGCCAAGCGTAGTTTTCATCGATATTTACTGGCCAGCTTCTTCACCAGGTTTGTTGGCATACTGCTGCATATGTTGGCGTGTTCCCACCGCCTGTTGTTCAGGACAAGGACTTACTCATCGAAAAAACAGCTCTACCAGATGTCTGAAACTCCACAGGGAACCTTTAGGAGACGCCTGAGGCCTCTAAAACTAGTATTTTTTAATTTAAAAGATAATTGTTAAAAACTTTTAACTGTTCCTTCTCCAAAACTTAAAAAACAAACAAAAAAACAGCTGCTTGGAAATTGTATAAAAGTCCAAAAGTTTCACATGTAGCAGTTTGATAAATGTGAGCTCAAAGCATTAAATGTGAGGATGCACTGCCACCTTATGGAGTAAAGCAGTCCGTCTTTAAATTTCATTGCATGTGTTTTTCTGTCACACTCTGGTATGTCTAACCATATCAACAACTGTCTCCCTCTTCATTTTTCAGCCCAATGATTTCTCTGTGTCTCTGAAGGCATCCGGTAAGAATAAGCACTTTAAAGTGCAGCAGGCGGACGGGGTGTACTGTATCGGCCAACGCAAGTTTGGCTCCATGGATGAGCTGGTGGAGCACTACAAGAAAGCCCCCATCTTCACCAGTGAGCATGGAGAGAAGCTGTACCTGGTCAAAGCGATGCTGTGATTCACACATCCTCACACCTACACTGGAGCTCACACACACACACATAATACTAATGCCACTCCCTAACTGTCTTAACTCAAGCCTTAGCTCTGGACCCTCTTGCTGTGGCATCTGTGCTACATCCAGATCCTCAGTCACTCCTCCAAGTTTGTAAGTCTGTCGCCCTCCAGTGGTGATGGGGTGAAACAACCCAGTAGTTAACCCCAAGATGGTGAGCACTGTGCAAGAAATACTCAACTACATCCTTCATGTAAAGCCCAGTGCATAATAAGCCTCTGTCTCTTGGATGTGCTGCTAACGGAACGCCTGAGGCCTTGTTTGGGGGTTGAGCTCTCCTTCTGATGTCATACTTAATGTCCATTTACTACCACGCAATTTGTAGGTTACACCATTGCTCTTAATCCACACATGAGGACAGACGTTTAACAGTTCAAAGAAGGACTCGAACATCTGAGGGACCTTACTTTGGTGTTTTCCTGTCAATTTGCTTGCCATAGTTTTAGTTTGTTCATTTATTTTTAAAAGAAATGCTTGTTCCTGAGTTAACGTTTTGTTTTTTTAAAGCAAATTTAAATTCCTCTCTGGAGGTTTGAATCATTGCATCTTTCATACAGTGACTTCACAAAGTGACCAGAATCACTCTCTTGCCTTTTTTCTCCTAATTTTCATCATTCCTCTACATGATTTGTCTTCTTCCTTGTCTGCACAGACTCAGTCATAGTGATGTTATTGAAAATCTGGATACATTCTTCCTGTAATCTTTCTAGAAGGCAGTGGGGGAGCATTAATGCAATAGGGGAGACCTCCAATTTCCTGTAGAGTTTGAATGTTTATCAACGTAACCAAATGTGCCACCCTGTACCCATACTACTGGCTCCAGGTCTGCACTGCACTCACTATACTTTGATTTGTAGCTCTGTGCTCATGCTTTATATGCATCACACTGAACATGTTCCACTTCTGTTCTCCAGTATGTATCTGTTGCCACGTGAGGATACTGACTGAAGAATAATAAAAACCTTTTTATTAACACTTGAGTAGTTACACTTGATCTGCTCCAGCTCATACACGTTAATGCAGTACCTCTTTTAGATAGTAGGTAGTATTTGTCAAAGATGAGAATATCTTTGTGTATCTTGTGATTGAATCTTACAGGGAAAGTGTCATACACAGAAAACTATACAATATTTTAAATTGTTGACTGAGACCCCAAATACTAAATTTAACTAGGATGTGACTCTAAGCTCTACACTTTGAATCATCATTCATAGCTCATCAAATGATTTGGAAATACTTGTTACTAATTCATGAAACCAGGTCTGTCTACTAGTCCTTGAACGGAGTTTGGAGGAAGAGTCATTTTTTCTCTCCAGCCTTTCCAAAACCAAAAGCTTGAGTAAAAGCGTAAGGAATGGATTAAACGGTGTGTTTATCTTCTCTAATGCAATCTTTAGCGTGCCCAGCTAACTAGCTTACTACCTACAGTAGTAACCAAGCGTCTCTTACAGGGCCAAACAGCACATCCTTAATTAATTTGCCAAGTTACAGCTAAAAAAATCCTTCAAGCAACAGGTAAGTTGCTGACAATTTTGCGTGCTAAGCGGCCATCTTTATCAAACAGACATAGCAACTGTAACTAAGTGGGATGGAGCTTAATGGTCAGTTTATAATAAGTCGTCTTTTACTGTCAAGAAACCAAATGTACTGTCATCCGGTTTATAATGAAAAAATTATATTCTAGTTTCACCAAACATTTTCCATGTTTATTTCCTTCTGCTATGTGCATTTGTTTACCAATGGAAGTGTTGTTGATCATGGGGTCCTCAGCTTTTATATGATATATCTGAATGTTATTGAGCATTGTTATTTAATTCTTGTCTCCACTGTATGTATATATTCAAAATAAGATGAGGTGCATATATGAATCATGAAGATTAAACTATGGTACTGTATCACCGACGTGATGAGAATTGAAATACTTTTGTTCAATAAATTTTTTTGAAGAATTCTAAAATTACATGTGAAATTAATGTGCCTGGTTATTGTTTAAATGACTTGAAAAGGCTTCATCTCTGGTTAAATAAGTTGGGGCTCTGCTCCCTAAGCTGAGCCTGTCTGTGCCGAATTCATACCTGGACTGGTAGACCCAAACTCCAACCAAAGCCTAAGCTCCATAAGGCTCAACTCATGAAGATATAATACATTAACAGTAAAAAAAAAAAAAAAATAAAGCCACCGTGTTTACATTTCTTTCATTTAGAAGATTCTTTTGTCATAAGTGTTACATTTTTACCCAGAACACATTAGTTTGGGGTTCAGTCTCTCTCTCCAAGTGGGCAGGAGGAGCCACAGATTGAATAATCAACCCTACGTCTAATAGCTGACACACTCCACCACCTGAGCTACAGTGGCACAATCTGTCTTCTTAATCTGTATCCAACATGCATAAAAAGGGTTACTCGACCACCAAAATTACAAACAGGACTGGAAATGTTGAATTTAAGTGAAGTTATTATGTATTCTATTTTCTATCTTTACATCCTTAATGTTAAATTAAAATAGGCTTATTCTTTGAATTGTGATCAGATGAGAAACACAAAATTAAGCCACAGCTTTAGTGTATTTTGATTGGATGCTTGTAATTTGTGCTTTTACTGTATATCACATGGCTTACCAGTGATTAGTTACTTTGCAGAATATGGTTTTGATGAATGAACAATGACAAACTTACACAAAATACTATTTACACATGCATAATAGAGTTACAAGGTGGCTGCCTTTAAAATTATTATTGCTACTAAATATTGCTGTGAACATTTCAGAGCATTGCTGTGTTTTTAATTAAGGGAATGAGATGAGAATTTGCTGAACCACTGTTTACAAACTGACAGTCATCAAAGCTCCCTTAAGGGCGTTCAAGTCCTGTCTGGCAAATTGTCATCTCCTACACACTGTATCCATCAGCTAGTGTACCCAGAGGCTGGCTGATGGATGGAGGTCACCTGAGAGGAGTGTTTGTGTCTGTGTCAGTCACAATTTAACCACCATCTGCCTCAGCGTTCATGGCACAGATTTGCCAGCAGTTGGGATTTCACATCTCTGTTAGTGATAACAGAAACATCTCTGCAGAACCACCATACAGTACTGTGGTTTTGGATAAATATAATTTACAAAGGGATGTCCAACTGTCACAGTAACATTATTACAGGATAGCAATATATTTTTTATGGTAATCTTTAAAAATATTCAACAACAGAGAAAAGAACATCTGACTTTACAAACTGTTACTGAAAGGTTGAGTGCAGTGCCTTTATATTTCCACATGGTGGCAGTATTGAGCTTCTTGCATTGTCACCTGACAGCTCTTTAAACCTTCAACAGAAAAAAGCACAGCATCGGTTTGGTTGATTACCAGTGAATTCAATTGCATGAAGGGGCAGTGAGATTAGGTGTTTAAATTAGATTTTAAAAAGAAATATATACATACATAAGCAGATTTAACCAACACCAAATGCCAACAAACTAATGGACAAGCCTTCACTTTGCCACAAGGGGAAGGGGATAACGGTAGTAATCTTTACTAATTACCATTGACGGCAGCGTTGACCTGCACGATTGCTCTAAAAGTTGCTCTGTGTATCATCATCTTAAATATTGGGGCAATTTCTCACCACCTGGCTCAAGGCTGGTAGCGAAATGAAAAGCCACACAGAAGCATGTAGCAAGGGCAAATGCCAATAGTGTTTAACTGTGCGTGAGTGACAGCGTGGTGTCTTGTAGTGCAACAAAACAAAGGAGGTCATTTGAGAAGTAAGCTGGGAGCCAAAAGAGAGAGACAGCCCAGAAACAACATTAACCTCAAACCTGGGGATGTATTGAGGTTAATGGCTCCTCACCCTCCATCTTGCTCTTTCTATTTCTTGTACTCAGAACTCTCCACCTTATTCAGTTACTATTACTGTCCCATTTTACAGGACCGGTTAAAGGCTCAGCTGCATCACACATTCACATCGATAGGCTCCTACATCTGACACTGATGAAAATGCTTTTATCTTGTGTTTTCCTTATTAATACCCATGATTAATACACACTTCAGCTACTCTCAACCCCAGATGTGTTCTTTCTTTGAAGATAAGGTTGGTGATGTTCTGTGAACAAATCTCCTGAAAATTAATTTAACATTCAACTATTTCAAAGCGTATTCCTCTGTAGGGCTGCAACTAATGATTCTTTTCATCATCAATCAATTATTTTTGCCATTAATCAATTAATCTTTATGTCTAGAAAACATCAGAAAACAGAGAAAAAATCCCTGTATTCTAGTTTACACAGGTGATGTCTTAAAATGTCTTGTTTTGTCCAACCAACACTCCAACGCCACAATATATTAAATCTACTATTAAGTAATACCAAGAACAGTAGCTAATTGTCACATTTGACAACCTGGAACCATCAAACATTTGATATTTTTGCTTAAAAAATCACGATTAATCAATTATCAAAAGGAATGTAGCATAGGATTGCGAGATGATAACCTTTCATAAAATGATCGTTTTCATAACACTTTAAAAAAACAAATGGACAGTGATATAGCCTATGCAACACTCATATTACATTCTAGTTTTCCAATTTTTAATACATTTGAAAGTAACAACAGTCACTGACTGTAGCCACCATAGACTGGACACTAATCAATGGTAGCTACAATAGATGTTTTATTTTAACTGGATACAGGAGGTGTCCAGTTTGAGGTACGTTTTCTCTTGTTTGGTGGGTATGTCAGAGGTGTTACTCAATCAGCGATGACTTGTACATAATCACAGCCATAATAAAAAGCAGGAAAGCGCAGTGCGCTTGCCACTAGGTATTCAAGGCGCTGAACGTTTTGCTACTTTTTGTCGGTGCTGAACCCTGTTCTTTCCCAAATCTTATTATACACTGCTCAAAAAAATAAGGGAACACTAAAATAACACATCCTAGATCTGAATGAATGAAATAATCTCATTAAATACTCCTTTCTTTACATAGTTGAATGTGCTGACAACAAAATCACACAAAAATGATAAATGGAAATCAAATTTATCAACCAATGGAGGTCTGGATTTGGAGTCACACTCAAAATCAAAGTGGAAAACCACACTACAGGCCGATCCAACTTTGATGTAATGTCCTTAAAACAAGTCAAAATGAGGCTCAGTAGTGTGTGTGGCCTCCACGTGCCTGTATGACCTCCCTACAATGCCTGGGCATGCTCCTGATGAGGTGGCGGATGGTCTCCTGAGGGATCTCCTCCCCGACCTGGACTAAAGCATCCGCCTATTCCTGGACAGTCTGTGGTGCAACGTGGCCAGGAAGCATAGGATCTGAGAACCAACTGCAGAACCACTCCTTTAATGGGGGGGGGTCTTGCTAATTGCCTATAATTTCCACCTGTTGTCTATTCCATTTGTACAACAGCATGTGAAATTGATTGTCAATCAGTGTTGCTTCCTAAGTGGACAGTTTGATTTCACAGGAGTGTGACTGACTTGGAGTTACATTGTGTTGTTTAAGTGTTCCCTTTATTTTTTTGAGCAGTGTACATTCGTGGTACCCACCCTCTGTGGCTTCTGCTGGGGTATGGCAACACCACTTGGACAAGCCACATGTAGAAATGCAGTCCACTGTAACACTTGTAGTAATAATGGCAATTTGTTAAGTTTAATCATAATTATAATTACATTTGCTAAAGGTTATTTCAGACAGCGATGCAGCAGAATGTAGCAGAGCAAAAACAAAGATTATTTATATTTTTATCTCAAGATAAAGGTGGGGGTAGAGGGGTTGTTGAGCATAATATATATTGGGGTGATGTCCCCCTAATTAATATATATACTACAATTATGGCCCTGAGAAAAAAATAGAATAACACCAACTTTCTCCTCTAAACTTTCGACAGCAAAGATCACCTGTGCTTGGTGTAGTAGCTGACAGTAACTAAGTCTGTGAGGTCTAACTACTGCAATTTTTCCTCTGATGAACAACAGAAAGACACGGGACGGATTCAATCATGACCTCTCCACTCTCTTTGCCAGTGTCCTCAGAGACAAACTAACATCTCAAGAACAGCTAAATGGATAGCCAAAAAAAGAAAATAACTTTCCACCCTGTGGCTGAATGTTGGTACAGTCTGTCTGGATAGCAGGCGTGAAAACTGTCTGGTACATGTTTCTTTTCATCAGTTCCATCTGCACTTTTCACCTTGTAAAAAAAAAAATCTGATTAATCCAAGCAGCTCAAGGCAAAAAATCTTTCACCGAGCCCCTAATGGTTGTGACAACAACATAGTTATATACTGCAGTAAAAATAATCTGAGAGGCATCAATATGAGAGGAGGGCCAGCGGCGGGATCCAGATATGACCTCTCATTTAATTTGACCTTACCTAAAAACATTTTATCAACACAGGACATTATTACACTAGACAATGTGAGGTTATGTTTCTCTACAGAGAGGTGTGAAAGAGGATCTCTGACGTCGTTTTTGGAGACAGGCAGGTGGAAAAAATTTTCAAAATGTGAAAAACAAACATGTCATCATGCTCAAATAGAGACGCAGCCGTCATCCTGAGATCAGTCTGAGAAAGAAGGGCAAGGGACTAGACCACGAGCATAATCTCCTGTTGATCAGGTAAGACAAGACTGAAGATGATATTTGATGAAGCAAAGATGGTCTTGGGAGATTTTCTTCTTCTTTATGTTGTAGCCTGCATGGTTTTTAAAGAACAAGCAGTTTTCCATTTCACCACTACACCCTGTTCTTTACATTCTGGTGTTGATAAGATGCTCTCTATGCTCATGAATTCACACACACATTTCTCTTGCAGAAACTGATGAACAGGGTTATTATTTTTCAGATCAAGCCTTTTGTGGTCTGTCTTTCAGTTATGGAAAGCATACATGCTCTGTATGTGTCTGTGCTGCTCTGTGCCCTTCTGCTCGGCTCCCTGCCTCCTACAGGTATGTCAGGAGCTCATATACGCCATTCCACACTGCAATATACAGTAATGCTGACATGACGGACAAGGTGTGAAATAATGTTCACACTTCTTTCTGTATCTTGTCTTCTTTGACAGGAGCAGAGGAAAGTGATGCAGCCGGCAGGAGGGAGGAGAGGGAGAAACGAAGCCTCCCCTACTGGGGCCTGTGGTCGTCAGACTTTTTTGGGTGGTTGGAGGAGCTTCGAGCTCAGGCAGCTCATGAAGGGATGGAGGACCTGGCTCGTACCTTCTGGGCTCACTTCCCCATCGGCAGCAATCTGGGCTATGATAGTCCCGAGTCTGACCCTCAACCTGAGGAGTGAGGCAGAGGAGAAACCAGGTGTGGATAAGAGAGATTAAAGAGTCTAAGGGCAAGTAGAAGTCACCTTTTAACATGTGTTCAGACAATCAACAGCAGCTTGGAGACTACTAGATATTGTAACCCTTTTGTTAATCTTAATGTTGGCTTTTGTATGTATAAAATTAATAATTTACCAAAACAATCCATTAAATATTTCTTTTTCTTCCGAACTTATTAAAATCTAATATGGAGAAAAGTATTGAAGTGGTATGCCTTTCTTTTGCACAAACCTAGGCTTGCACATTTGATGAAGGTTACAAATATTAGAAGTGACCCTTACACATTGTTAATTACACGAAGTATTTAATGTTTTACATTTTTTATGGATTATGCATAAACAATAATATATTCATTTTGTTTGCCAAATAGTCAGTCACAGGCAGACAGCAGAGGATACTTTTACGTGTAAGTATGTCTGTGAAGCCAAAAACAAATGTCCACATGAATGGATGAATGTCTTTTCTAATATATTCTCCCTGTCAGACCTCCAATAAACAAAATGTTAAATTCCAGTATCACAGACAAATACACCTATGTAGGATTTGGGAGATGATGCAGAGTAAAAACTACTCTCAACACCAACTAAAATCCACTGTATATCCACCTAGCTTAACGTAAGGCAGTCTAATGTAGGCTAACAGTCCTGCAATAAATCCTACTTTCATGAAGGTTATAATGTTCACTTTTTGTTGAACCTGTTTTAGAGAGGTGTTAAATCAATTGTATGGTCATTTTGGAGGCTGCAGTACTTCACTTCCACCACAATGATCATGAAGTTGAATCCAAACACAAGTAATGCATGCTTTTCTGTAGCACTGGAGCACTGGAAATATATCCAGACACTTTATGTCTGGATATATTTCCAAAACTATTATTATTACAGTAAGTCAATATTATGGCTGTAACTAGCTGAAGCCTCATCATCTCAGCTCAGCAATTGATTATGCAATGTTAATGAAAGGGAAAAAGAATTTGTGTATCCTCTCCATGATTTGGATCCGATCCAACATTTATGGGTTCTTCCTTAGACCACGCTATACCTTTTCACCATGTTTCAGGAAAACTGGACTGGTGGTTTTTCAGTAATCATGTTCACAGACAAACAAACAAACAGCACCAAAAACATACCATCCTTGGCGAAGTTAATCAAGAAAAGTGTTGAGGTGATAAAACAATGTCGTTTGTTTTGTTGAGCTGTTAAAGAGAGCTCGGGCTCTTGAACAGAACATTAGGGTTTAATGGAAAACTGAAGTTGAAAAATTCACACATGCACATCTTTAAGGTAATAAAAGGTTTTCATTGTATTCTGTTTTTCAATTTGGAATTTGTTGTTTTAGTTGTTGTGTGAGCTTTGAGGGGACACTAAAGTAAATCTGACTCCGGTCACAACACTCAAGTCAAGTCAAGCATGAGGAGAAGGTGGAAGGGAAGATGGAAACATAGACAAAACGTTAGACAGCAGTGAAGGAACATAAAGAGGAAATTGTTGTTTTTTTCCCCAGCAAAGGTCAATATGTATTCATGATTTTACAGCGTTTCAATCCCTAATCCCCGGGACAATAAAAACGCATTGGCAGAATATAAGAGGTTTACCGTATTCTGCTTTATCTTGAATGCTCTGACGCAGAAATGCTCACTATACGGTTTTGTGAGCAAATGAAAAGAAGTCCACATACCTGAATCATCTCAGGTATTGTGTCAGCTATGAAATTCTTCATCCTGTCAGAAGGGACATGTTCTCTCCAACCCTCATGTCTTTCATCCCTCGTTCGAATTACAAATGGCACCTGAAGGAAACATGAATCATCAGTGTGTGTCTGTTTCCACAGTGTGTTTGTTTTTTGGATTCCAAGCTAACTTTTTGAATCTCAAACTCAGAAAATCTGTATTTGTGTGTCACAAATCTGATTTCCCCTTAATATTTTTGTGTTTCAAAAGTAGAAGCCAACGACTCAGGCTGATCCTTCTCAGATGGATCTGATATGTATTTTAAAAAATCCTGTCTATGGACATGCCTGCAGAGCAGAGGCTTGTGCCTTTCATACCAGCCAAGACTCAGACTATTCAGTTCAGTTCAGAATGTGCTGACCTCTTTTTGTTCTGATGCCCAGTGTAAGTGTGCTGTTGAATTCACACAGCTGGCCAAATTCAAGCCTCATAAAGAAGTTGTAGCTACTTTTAGTCCAGCTGAACGAAATAAGGAAAGCAAGAGCTCAAAAATGCATTCATCACTCTGTTCTTTAACTGTATTCTTCTACCGTGCATCTCCTCCTTCTGTTTTGTCACTCACTTCCCCTTCTTTCCAAATCCATCATCAAAGTAATGTAATAGCCTGCCAGCTTTCGGGTTTCCTGCATTCCAGCTCTACCTGTGACAAACGGAGAGACTCTCGCTTTCCCTCTCTGACACACACACACACACACACACACACACACACACACACACATACACACACACATCGTATTACAAGTTCAAGCCCAGTTGAGTGAGAATTTCAGAATGAAACCTCTATAAAGTAACAGTTCATCATTCAACCTGCTGTCAGAAAAGCTGTGATTACTGTATGCACTGTTGCTTTGCAGGGAACTGCTAACTTATAAACACAGTCATGTCAGTCAGCAATCATTAAAGAGAGAGTATGTAACTTCTGATAAACAATAACACAATGTCCATTCATCGTCAACCGCTTATCCTGCGTACAGGGTCGCGGGGGGCTGGAGCCAATCCTAGCTGACATCGGGCAAAAGGCGGGGTACACCCAGAACATGTCACAGTCCATCACAGGGCCACATATAGACAGACAACCACTCACACTCAAATCCACATGGGGATAACATGCTCCACACAAAAAGGCCAGGGCAACCGGGGTTTGAAGCCAAGACCTTCTTGCTGTGAAGCCACAGCACTAACCACTGCTCCACCGCACCACCGCACCACCCCAAAATAAATACACTCATAAATAAAAAGTTGAGTTCATAAGAAATTAAATGCACTCTTGCTCAGTTTAATGCACTCACTGGATTTGCAACTATAGGCTGAGCGGGAAAGAGTGAGCAGAGGGCAGCGGGGGAAACACTAATGTCCATGTGCAGTGGGTCACACAACATGGAAGCTGGAAAACATTTTTGGGTTTATTCGCATGACAAAGCAATTTTCATTCAAGTGACTGGGTGAACTATCTGAGAACAGAGTCAAAATGTGAACACCCCAGTCCTAAAGATGATCAAGGTTAGATAAAGTGCACACTGTGTACGTTGAACTGAAGCACTGGAGGGAGTGGATAATGGTGGTATCTCCCTGGGCTTAAGGTTAATACATAAACCAAGGGGGAGGTTTAGCTGGAGCTTAAATTGTAAAACCATACATGCAAACAGAAACAGCTCTTAGAGGTGAGCTCAATCCTGTTCTTCTCTTTGGCTTTTCTTCTGTTGTACTTACAATTTGCTTTTTCTTTGTCCACATCATTCAGTCCTTCACCATCTGCCATTGTACTTATTTCTTAATTTCCCTTCTTCCAAGGCTCAAGAGTTCCTGGCAAGACTGAGCAGAACCAAGAGGAACATTTGGGATTGCAGCAGACCAGACGTACAGCAGTTACGCAATTGAAAGCAATTTTCATTCAAGTGACTGGGTGAACTATCTGAGAACAGAGTCAAAATGTGAACACCCCAGTCCTAAAGATAATCAAGGTTAGATAAAGTGCACACCTTGTACATTGAACTGAAGCACTGGAGGAAGTGGATAATGGAGGTATCTCCCTAGGCTTAAGGTTAATATATAAACTAAGGGGGAGGTTTAGCTGGAGCTTAAATTGTAAAACCATACATGCAAACAGAAATAGAAATATTTAAATATTTATTTTCATGCTGCAGCTAATTTAATTTGCAGCATCACACTTTATAGTGACCTAAAACTGATCTTTTTTACATTCTTGGCTTATAATTACATTTCTGCCTCTCATGCAGTCAGTTTCTAAATAATTTGATGTTTTAACCTCAAACAGATTTTTGGGGCTTCACCTGTGATTACTACTGAAATGAAATTAGATTTATCCCCTGTTATTTTAGTGTAGTGTGTTACGGCCACTGTTTTTGGTTACTGTCCCTTAAAGACCTGTCCGCTCCCGCCGACATCCATGGCCCTGATTGGAGCAGCCCTAAGACCGTCCACCAATCTGCAAGCTGTGTTTGGCGCCTGCTGCCTTAAAAGCTGTCATACTGCCGTGCAAAAAGGGCTGTCTGTCATTTAGTGTTTTGCCTCTGTGCCCATCAGTGTGTGTATTGAGCCTGATGTATATTGTGTGCTCGTTCCAGCAGCCATCACTTCCATGGCCTGCTTGTGTTTGTGATCTGCTGCTAATAGTCTTTGTGTTAGCTGTTTAGCTAAAGACTCTGTAACCCTGTTGCAGCAGTATTACCTTACTGAGAGTCAGTAAGTGTTCATTTTGTTAAGTAGCACACTTGAGTGGGTTGTGTTTAACCGTGTGTCTGCAGAGTTGGGCTAGGTTTTAGTGTAAATACTGATAATCCACTCTACACGTTCAGGATATTTCCTTTGTTTAGCCCATTAGGTTTAAGGGTGCTGCGCTCCCTGTGTTTTGTTTTGAGACACCCACAATAGAGAGGTTTTGTTTTCATTTTGGTTTTCGAGTTAGTTAGTAATCCCTGTTTTGGAGGGAGCTCTTTTTGTTATCTGGTGTTTCTGGTTTTGCAGCACCCACTTGCCCAACTTTTGTTGTTTAAACCTTGTAAAAACTCTTGTGTGAATAAATAACTTATACCACCATACCAAGTTCCTCTGGTTCATGCGTACGTTCCCTTTTGCCTAGTGAGCTGGGACGCAACAAGTGTCAGAAACAGCTGCTGTAATAAATATTACAGAGACACTGTCAACCTTCCTTTTTTTTGCGAGTTTTCATTACTGTGCACAGTTTACACTTGGTTACAAGAAATTGCGACAGTCTGAAACTTTCTTGTGAAAGTAAAACACATCTGTACTGCAGCAACCTGCATCAGAAATGATATTATACATATTTTGAAATTCAGAGAATCTTTTCACTCCGTAAACCTGCCTGACAAACCACATTCAGGTGCAGTGGAACTGCTTATTCTTCCTTCTCACTGCTGCTCATGTGTCGTGTGTGGGAGATGGAAAAGTACCTGGGACGCACATGCAAATTCATTTAAGATCTTGTTTCTGTAGGCAAGGAGGTAAGCGACATTCCAGCGCCAGAGACCAGTTTCCACTTGAAAAGTCTGGGTTGCCGCCCACTCTTCCCCCTGGTTGTGCAGCCGTTTATGCACAGTTGTTGCCATTAAGCAGCTCTGAAAAGACTCTGAGCGGCTAGAAGATGGCATCCCAGCAGCTCTATTTGAGGTTAATGGGGTTGGCTGTCTTGCTGACAATGTTGGCTCTTAGAGGTGAGCTCAATCCTGTTCTTCTTTTTGGCTTTTCTTCTGTTGTACTTACGATTTGCTTTTTCTTTGTCCACACCAATCTGTCCTTCACCATCTCACCTTGTACTTATTTCTAGATTTTTGTGATAGTTGGGTTTCTCACAGCACTAGCAGTTACAAAGATAAATTAGTGCATGTCGGTGTATGTGGAATATTTCTTGAGAGAGGGTACATTCTGAGATCACATGGAGGCAAGGAAAGGAAAAAGCCTTTATAGAAAATGTTTCGAGATTTATGAATAGACAAAGTTAAGAGATCACCAAAGATATTACAATTCATAGATGTCTGTTCCACATTTCACAGCAATCCATCAAATACTTGTTGAGACAATTCATTCAAAACCACAAATGTGAACCTCATGGTGTGGCACAAGAAAAGTTAGGGGTTCACCAAAGTCAGTAGAAAATGTCATCTGGGGACTATGAATCCATGAATCCATCCAACAAGTTCAGTCTGGACTGACTCACATTGCCATCCCTCAAGATGGAGTGGCTCAAAAAAAGTGAACTATAACTGTGTACTTTCTCAGAGAGAGGTCTTAAATGCACATTTTGAGTCCTTAACATTTTACAGTGTTGTTCTGCCCACTGACATTTGTTTGATTTTACCTTTTGAGAAGTGCCATTTTTTCTTTTTACTGTTATTATTACTGTTATTATGAATATATGTATTGCATGCATAAAAATGCAGATAAGCCGATTAATGGACTATTACAGACAGCAAGAGGTTTGCTAACTTCTAAAGATTAAAAATCAGCCCATAAAAAGCTCTGGAAAGAATGACTCATATGGTACATGTTATGGACAGTCTGATATAGTCAGTTCTGCAGGAATTGCTGCTAGCTCATATTGCAACACAAACTAGAAAAAAAAAACCCACATGCAAACAATTTTCTCCAACTGTATCCCTCCACATCTAACTGCACAGCCAAGACAGAGTCCACCAGAAAATATGGACTGGATTTCTGTGCATATTCTTAGGTACATGGATTCTAAAGGGGAGATAGCTTAGAAAAACCTCTGTTTCATGTTTTAGCTTTTCAGAAAAAACAATTAATTAAACCCTCTGAGACTAAAGGGAACGTGTCCCAGAGGGATGTCAGTCCTCTGGGAGAACAGTCAGCTGCCACTACAAGTATTGCAAAGGGTCATCTGACTGAACTGGCTGTGTGCAGCGAGGTACAAGATACCAGATTAGTGCACACTTTGTTTATATGAACATCCGCCACACACAGTACAGCTCCAGTGGGACTGAAGAGCAGCAGGAAGGGCATCGCTGAAGTGAATATATTTACATGCAAATTGGCCAATAACTAATTTCACTGGATTTGTGTTGGCAATTTCTCCTTTAACCTCCATGGTCCACTTTGACATTTGCATCTATAATGAAAACTGAGAACAAACGTGTTCACTCACTCACTCATTTCAATCCATAAAATCAATTAAGTGAAAGGGGGAAAAAGTGATGCGTAAAACCACTGAAGCTAATCAGAAAATCTGCTGCGGTGCAAGCAGAATAATCAGGAAAATGTGCCATTTTGATGTAGCTTTGACAAACTATATCTGCATGAGTAGCCTTAAACGTCTAAACAAGTATAGAGTTGGTCTCAAAGACTGGCCATTAAAGTTCTCCACCTGCAACTGGCAAAATCCTACAATTTACACTGCACATAACCATAGTGTGACTGATTAAACTGTGTTCTATTATTAATCAAGAGTCTAACTTACCTGTTATGAAGAATGGTGTTTCATACTGCAGCTCATTAGCTCTCTGTCCACTCTCCTTAACAGATGTATCCAGTGACAGTATCATGCACAAGATCTTAAGGAAAAGAGATGGTAACATTTTACATAACAGTATTATCATAGTGCTGATGCAAATATCACCTCCAGTGAAATGCCCTTTCATTCTTTTTGCCCTATTGTGCTTCCACCCTGTGGCAGGAGTTGGTAATGGCCCCGCAAAGTCCTCTGTTGCCCTCCCTTCTTCCAAGGCTCAAGAGTTCCTGGCAAGACTGAGCAGAACGAAGAGGAACATTTGGGATCGCAGCAGACCAGACGTACAGCAGTGGATCATGCAGTTTATGTACATGGGATATGACGAGCAGGTGGGTTGTCTGTTCCAGGAGAATTCAGGTTTCCTCTGAACCAGAAATCCCTCTCCAGTGAAGTTGTCGACATGACAGGGGACCTGAAAAACAAAACTGATCCACATAACAAAACCAGATCACAGATTTACCACCTTTTGAGAAATGGCTCTAGACACAAGGTTTGAGGAACAAAGGACACAAAACAGAAACAAAAGATTTCTCTCACCACTGCCTCATGTTTAGTTTGCCTTCTTTCAACAGCAGACTGACAGGATATTCTTCAAATGATGTGCAGTTTATTATATTTCCACGTGCTAATGTGACAGGGTTCACTCTTATGTTATGTTACAAACCCACAAGCAATCTATTGTTTTACTTCCATAAGTTGAGGGAGAGATTCATTTAAAAAGAAATGTGAAAATCGAAACAGCAGAGCCAGAGAATTTCAGACTTTTTACGTAGTATGGGTCAAGCTCCAAATATACTAATGGTAATGCACATCGTTCGTTGGACTATGTCCCCAGTTTGTAATGCTTCTGTCTGTCTAAGTAATATTATCTGATTTCTCTAGAGCCACAGGAGACATACAGCAATTTCCCCCTGTGTAAAACAAAAACGAGGTATTTTCTGCTAAAGTTGATACTTATCTCTGATGTTCTCTCTGTGCTCTTCTCACTGGTTTGGAGTTCTTCTGTGTACCAATCACCAATATTACCTGAGGATGTTTTTTTCCCCCAAAGTTTTGACAGTTGCTTATTTAGTAATAAATATTTCATTTTATTGAGAAACACCTGGATTTTCAGGGGCTTCAAACTTGGCTAAGAAGATAAACCATGCAAAAAACATTAAAATAAGAATGAGAAACGCACACACAGATAAAACAGACAGTAAAAACTTTAGTCATTTGGATCTTTACATATTTCTGAAATGTGGAGGACAAAAATGTGTGGTGACAAAGGTATAGTTTAAAGTGAAGACTGGTCTGACGTCTACAAGATATCCTTATCAAAAGGTTATCCTCAAGATGTTGCTGTACGACCTGAACTGAATATATGACAACACATAAATTCTCTCTCTCACAAACAAATATACAGTCCAGTTTCAGTTTTTCTCAGGTGATTGTCATGTAGAATTCACCAGGGACAGTAAGCAACAGAGGGAATGCAATAGATAAAAATGGAGCAGAGTACAGAAATTAACCCCCTACTGCCACTATTTTTGACAGCTGACAGCATTTCTGTTTCAGCCAGAGTAGCGTTATTTCTCATACAAATACATGCCATTTGCTGTTGCTTCGTAAAATGGAAAAAACGTGTGAAAGCATTGGCCTTTTAAACGGTTGCCTGTCACGTACATCCATTTGCCACAGCTGTAGCAGCTTATCATCTGCCTTTGTATCCATTAACTTGAGATTTGTTGAGGGTGAGTTTCTAAACGAATCACGACTGTGGTGTTTGTTTGTTTTTACTCTTCAGAGGCTCGAGACCGACCTGGCGTACTGGATGGACCACGCTCGTGCCAGTGATCAAGGGCGTCAGCACCACTATGATGAAAACTCCCCCATTGGACCGCGTGACCCCAGTTCTTACAGACATGGCGCTGATGTCAACTATGACTATTATTGACTCCAGTCACAGACACACAATTCAAGGCCACTGCTAGTGTGAATGGTCAAAGGGTTTGTTTCTTTGACTCCTGCCTTCTCTTTCAGAGAACCTGTGATAGTAAGTTACAAACCTACTTGCAGCTGTCAATCTGCTCTGACTTTTGATGTTTACTCCCACCACTGTAACCGACTCATATTTGCCTCTATCCCTACATATTAGTTTAACACAAAATTTAAAAAAGTTATTAGGCGGATGAATGAACAAAACTGATGTCTTGGCTTTTATTTTTGCTAGATTGTCATAAATAAAGGTGGCTTCGTACTACCAAAGACCCCTGCTTTTTCACTTTCACTACCATTTGTAGACACACACGCCTCAAAAAGCAGTCTCTACCTGTGGGGACCTCACGGTAATTCCCATCAGTTAGTGTACATTCAAATCAGTTCCCACCGACACAGTTATTTTCCTTCCTAATTATATCATACACAAAATATTGGAAATATTTTATTAAAATAGCATCTTTATCTGAAATTGATAATGCACATCCTGATATGAGATTTCACAAAGTAGAATGCAACGATGCAACATGTGATGATGCTGTAACAGTCTTTCAAGAAGATGTGCCCAGCCCTGCGGTGTGCTGCATGAACAGCCAACAGGGTGCTGGCACGCCACTGATAAGAGGACATAACATCCAGTGGAAAAACAAAACAGCTCATCTCCGGAGAAAAAACACCATGATAAAATAAACACGAAGCACTGATGCACAGTATGCGCTGCTTGCAAGCTTCTCATGTCTGCGATTTAAATAGCAAAAGCACAAATTCACAAAAAAAGGTAGGCTGGGTTTCAGATGCCCAAATATCTGTTTTTTAATTAGGCTTGCCATCCAATTGTAAGGAAGCCCTTACCAGCTGCAGCTCCAACTCTTTTTTAAGAGACTTTAAAGAGAAAGTTGTCTCTGCTTCTCAAAAAAGACACATCGTCACAGAGTACTCTACTCAACAGTGTTTTTCAGAGAGTTGCTCTTCAAGGGTCCTCTGAGGAGTCTGTACACCTTTCTGTGTTTTGGGAGAGTCTGTGGTGGGAAACCCGTCCGGGATCAGTTGTGTCTGGGTCTTCCTTTCTTCATGCGGGCGGCTTTAGGTTTAGGGATGTACTGATTGTTGGCCTGGTGCTCAAGTTCCCTACTGAAGTACTGGATAGTTTTGTTCAAGCCTTCCTCCAGGGGCACCTGTCAACACGAGACACAACACATACAACATATTAATACTGCCACTGAGTAAAAACAAACAAAAAGAAAATGCCACTATAAGTATTGCAGCTATATTAATATATTGATACACTGATCAGTTAATGTGTTGGAAAATCATTTGATGAGGCTATTATTGATATTGATGGAGGTTGGTCTCCAAACACAGTGGAACAACATGTAATTGCATGTCTGAAGGGAAAAGCAAGGTGAGAAGATTAAAGTAGTTTGTGAGTAAACACAAAAATAAGGTGGAGAATTAAGCAGAATTAAAATAGTGCCAACATAGAAAATAACCTACTAGAAATAGGGTAATGTATCTCATGTATTTTCAAAAATAAACAAAAAATATGCAAATATAACCCCCTCCATCCTGTCATTCTGTGGTAAACACTGAGCCATGTTATACTGCAATTCATTTTCAGTTAGATTTGTTTTTTTGTACAAAAAAAATGTCCTGGAGCACTTCTGAGTAAGATTGAGCAGTTTTGGAGAAATTGTAAAAGTTATTTTAAAATATCAGAATGATAGCCACTGTAACCTATCAACTGGATAGGTTACAGTGGCTCACAAGCCCCTCAGCAGGCTCCGAGAAGTTTGCCAATCAGATGAAAGTGGGCTTTTAGAGAGGGAGACCTTAAAGAGACAGGAGCCAAATTGTCTTGTTTGAGGATGAAAAAGTTGTGTTTGACAGCATGCCTCCAGTATGTTTGCAGGAAAGTAGCATGAACATGTGAGCATTTTGAGAAAAGTCTTGCTGAGTGTCTGAGTCTGTCGTGTCACACATACCACCGGCTCCCAGCCGAGCATCATCTTGGCTTTTCTGATGTCAGGTCTTCTCCTCTGTGGGTCGTCCTGGGCCTCTGGAAGGAACTGGATCTGACTTCGGCTCACTGTATGTTTGTTAGAGTGTGTGTGTTTGCATGAGAGTGCGTTCATGGAGTCACAAATGTACAGAAAGAAGGACATATTGTTATTTGTCTCCTTACTTTAAATCCTGCTGATGATCATAATATTATCATTATCTAGACAATTATGAGTCATGGCAGATAGATGCTTCTGCGTCAGAGTGCAGGGGTGGCTTCATGCGTAGGTGCAGTAACACACCTCCTCCTCTTTAATCTTATCTATTTTAGTGCTACTAGACAAATTTATATTTAGTTATCTAGCAAGGCCATTTCCGAGCAAACGTCCTTGCAATCATTGTCGCTCTCTATCACAGTGAATGGGAGAATGTAAATATGATTACTTTGTGTCTGCAGCATAATGACTGCAAGATACAGCCTGATAATAGAAGACTCTTCCATTGCTACAAGAATAAAAAGGGGTTAAATCCTACACAGAACTAAATCAGTTTCCATGCCAAGAGCACTGTGACACAGAAGTTCACCTTATGAAAAAACGGTTAAGACAAAACAGTAAGTAAGGAGGGAGAAGAACATTAAGAGACTAGCAGAAAAGCAAGCGAGGCTTGACTGGAGAGGGACTGAGATGTCGAGGAGAGCGACTGAGATGTCGAAAGGTAAGAGTTTGCAGAGACGCACAGAATGAAAACTATCGATCAGATGCCTTACCGACAAGACTTTTGATAAGACGAGCAAACTCCAATATAGTGTGTTCCTCTGGGTTCCCCTGCAAATGGATTTCATAAATGTCTATCACATCAGTGCCAACTACAGAGTGACACATAAACAGCTGTATACATTGCTTATGCTGTATTAATTTTCTATTTCAATTTGTGAAACACAGTGGGATGAACTCACCAGATTGACTGGACTGCTGATGTTACTGTTCATCAACAACACCAGGCCGTTCACCAGATCGCTGGAGAACAATTCACACAAAGAAGATATTAAAATTGATTCTCTTGTTTTAAAACCCACTCTGCAGCTTTGCTTTGTATGAGGGACACTGCATGAGGTTGAAATTTCCATGCAGAGTTTGTTTATGACAACATTATATTCGTACGTGTAACATGATACAAATATCAGCTGAAAGAGACCAATCATTCTTTTAATATTACTTTTCTATTTAGCACATCATCATAGTGGAACAAAGAGTTCCAAGGCCAGGGGAGACACGGCGGCTTCAGCATGAACTCTCTTCGTTTTTCATTTCCTCGAGCACATCATGCACAACATAAATCCACTTAATTCTTCTTTCAGTCTGTACTAGGGTGACCGTATGTCCTCTTTTTTTTTCGGACACACTGGCATTAGAAGGCATGTGCAAACACAGAAAACGACATGACGGGCAACCTCACCTACCACAGGTCGGGGAACAGTAGATGCAGGTTTACAAAAAATTTCTAATCTCCAACACTGCACCATATCCACCTCAGCTAGCTTTATTTTTTCCAAATGTCAAATTTGCATTCACGCATATACATACTGAGAGATATATATTTTGTCTATCCCATTTACATCAATGAGGGAATGCCAAATAACAGAGACACCTCTCTGTATAATGCAAAGCAGTTCAACAGCACAACAAACTACTGCCTCCAAAACTACCATAACGTTGACACCTCTATGAAAAACAAAAATTGAACATTATGACAGTCATAAAGGTAGGATTTATTGCAGGGTTGTTGTATTAGACTGTATCTAGGCATGTGTATGCAAGTGGAAAATGTGAACATTCAATGTTTTTCACTAAACCCACCGTGTGTATCCTTAATGTCCAACAAATGTAATGAGAGCCTTTTCATTCATCATAAAACATTTGCTAAGCAGATTTATTGACATTCTTGTTTGCTCGATTCAATATGAAAACACTACTGTCCTGAAACCATGTTGCTCTTCCTGTCGTATTATTACTCTACTTCTCCCAGCATGACTCACACAAGCTGCAGAACAGCTGCACTGAAGAAGTGAGAAAAATAAATACTTTGAATGGGGAAGAGATTTACCAGAATCAGAAATGTAAGAAGTTCATTTATGTAATTTACCTTCACACAAAGTGCAGCTACTTCCTGGATGTGATTTAACATGAGACTCCGAGAACGTGTGTATTTCAAGACTCGTAGTACCACATATCCTTGCAACAGTAGGTATCCAAATAAAGATTTCTTATTTAAACTAGTCTCAAAAGTAGATAATGCACACGGTGTCACCATGAGTAGAAATATGAACTCACTGAACACTACTACATAGTTAATAAGTTCATAAGTTGAATAAGTTCATGACATATAGACTATCACTGAACGGCTTTAAAGAATAAGATGGTGCAGCAGAATAAGCAAAGCATTTAACCTTTCCCCAGCTTGTGGCAGTGTGTGGGACTTGTGTGCTATTTCAGCTCTATACTTCCATCCCTCGCCTCCCTGCCATCTGTCACAGGCAGTAAATTATCTTATGCAAGTATTATTGTGTCTGGACTCAAAATCAAGGTTTCATATCGCATCATTTCAATGTCCTTTCATTCTGTAGGCTAATGATTTGTCTTAGTCCTCTCCTTTCCAAATCCTTTGTGTGGGCTGGGCTAATTTTCCTGAAAAGCCATGGCTCTTCTCATTTTCTAGAAATACGCTTTGTGAAATCTTGAACCACTATAGCATATTGCAATAGAAACCTTCACAATATTATAACTCTGCTAGAAACTAGTGATTTAGTTAAGTGTAAAATATGAGACACAAAGATCCAGGGAAGCAACAAGTACTCCTTCCAGCTCTCTGTCTAAAGAACAATCCAGGCATTTCTGAAGCGTTTTCATAGCAAGACGCGACACCCACCCACATTATTTAATGCACAGTGAATATTTTTCTTCCTCTGGTGCCCTTAGTGAAGCTATACAACACCTTTTACATCAAACAGATGTATCTAGCCTATATGTTATACTTTGAAAAAGTTTGAGGAAGCACAATTCACCCTAAGAGACATAAGACTAGGCCCTCATAATAGATCAAGACCCCCAATTTCACTGCTGTATAGACTTTTTGAGCTACGTTGGACATCAGAAATATGACTAATTAATCAATACATAAAAACAAAATGTTTTTTTATTGCCATTGAAGTTCTGATTTCAGCCAGCAGGGTGAAGACCGTTTATCTGTACTGCTAATAGGTCAGTTGGTTCTGCACGTTTTATATTTGTAGTTAATTAATTTGCAAAGATTTATTTTGACTTTATTTTATTTTTTTTTTTTTTACTGTTGATCAGTGAGAAGAAAATTCACTTCTAATTATATCAAAAATTATGTCCATGTGTGACACAATACAGTTTATAGGCACAGTGTGCAAAAGAGCAGATATGACCGAGGGAAGGCTTTCGTATCTTTAGGGTTTTTAGACCTTTTCACTGTTCACACAACATGAAAGCCACACAGGGCATCAGGTGAATGCTTTGAGGAGATAGGGAAGCTTCAAATGCTCTGTGTCTCTGATCTCTCTTCTTCAAACTGGTCAAATTAATCTAATCACCTGCACACAAACTGCTAAATACTCCTTTAACCTGTCACATGCCGTATCTGCACAGCCAGGCAGAAACACACACACATGTTGGTATTTAATAATAAACTTCAAGGTCCAATTTACATCACTACTCTTCTGCCTTATCCGAAATTCACTAGTCCATGAAAGCATCAACGTCATCAACAGATACTTTTGAAAAATAAAACAAAGCGTTATATTACTTTCTAATAGGTGGGTAGACAACAAAGCCAAATATTTTACATGACAAATATTTAAGTACAGAAGAGAAGAATGAACAAATATGGTTTAATTTGGCAGTCTTACCTTACATACTGAAAGGCTCTTGTTTGGGATCCAGTACCATATACCTAGAACACATATTGAAGGCTAATGTGTGTTAAATGTGTCATACATACATACATTTCTACTCCGCATACTTAAATTATGAGCATCTTGCATTTTTTTTTATTATTAGAAAAGGAAAATAAATTATTTTTGCCATGATGATGTTCAAATTATTAGAACTCAAAAGCTCATTGTAAATTAAGGATTTAACTTTTACCCAAATCTAAATAAAAACTGGTAACTTGTCATGTACAGCACTACTGGAAATGTTTTTCGGTCACACTATTTTCAGTTTTGTGCATCAAAATCAACTGCTATTAAACCATATTTTAAATATTTCATATACCTCATAATATTGAAACAGACCTGCATCCAGATGAGGAAGACTGAAGTGTCAAAGAAGATTGCCAGCTATTTTCATGTGATTTTATTTGATTGATGTTGTATACATCATCAATCACCATCTCACAGAGACTAAATCAGGGTGTATATCCTCTGACTACTAGCAATGACAAAAGAGCCTAATAGAGGCTTGTCTCGAGCACATAATAGATAAGGTGAATCAGTAGAAGGTTTAAAATGCGTACAGTAAGAGGTTCTCCCTGTAGTGCTTGCAGGATGAAGTTGCTGACGACACGTCCATCGTTCATGTGCATTCGGGAGCCAAAGGTATTGAAGATTCTTGCCACCCTCACCTCTACTCCTTCCTGTGAGCAAAGAAACAAAAAAGTGGGCGGCTCATTTATGAACTTTGTGATCGTTATTCCTTGATTTTAATGTTTATCTTTATTTTGATGACTTGTTTCATTATTCTGCATTTCACTCAAAACAAAAATTCCAACAAAATTCCATAAAAATGCAGTGTTTCCCCTACGATTTTTTCAAGGGGGTGGTAGATCACCCAAAACTACTGGTATCTCAAGATTTTGTTGCTTTTAAGAAAAAAATTATTTCAGCTGATTCTTACATAGCAGTTCCACATAGCAACACAGCATACAGGCCTCCATGCTACGCACACCAGAACAGATAATTAATTAAAATATGGTAACATAAAATAACTAAAATAAAATAATATATACTAGTTACTTATATACATATAAACATACACATATTCACCCAGAACATACCGCAGTGCATTTTTTGAATTTGCATCTGGGGTGAATGTAAACAGCAGCAACAAGATGATAATATGGTTTCATCTTCACATAAAAAACACAATGACAGACATTTGGGAAGCAGAGTCCATCTTGACTGTGTTGAAGCACCAAGCATAAATGATGTAAAACACACAGTCCGCCTCCTCTCATCTTGCCAGAGTCTTGCACTCTGTCAGCTCGGAACTTTGTCCGCCCGTCGAATGTTTGATCCGGGATGTTGATGGAGCCGGTCTCTGTAAAGACAGTCCCTATCTGCTATTATTAATATATATTAAATTCTTGCAGCTTGCCTTCAAAGTATACCAGACCAACACATGTGTCATTTGTTTAGTGGCATATGTCCCTTATAATAATAGATCCTTGTAATATCAAAGTAATATATATTTATTTATCTTTTCAGCTTTTAAGTATGATGCAACCAGTCATCATCACTCATCAATCATCCTCACCGATCAAAATTTGAATAAAACTAGCAGCTGTCAACCAAGTCACTCTAAATGGCTGATAAAACATATCTTGAACAGCAAAGCATTATTTATGGAGCTTGACAAAGCGTTTGCACTCAGTAACAGAGTGAGCCCTTTACCATAACCCTGATGCCTCTTCCACACCAATTTCTGAACAAAACCCTCTACTATTTTATTAAAATCTGTTCTTTAACCTGATTGCTAGATTTAAATAGCTAATTATGCACTCACACAACATATCACAGTCTTAAGATGTTGATATAATTTTCCAATAATATGAGCTAATTTGAATGCAATGTATTTGCATGGGAAGCAGAATTAACTGCATTATGTTAAAGTGTAACAGAGGAAATTTGACCTCTGTTGTCAAAATATTCTCCAGACGAGTATGGCAAGATGATGAATAAATGAGCCCAACTACATCATGGACACTTTGATGGCGCAGTTGTAGAAAACTCTCCCATGGCCTTCATACAGTAAGTCAGCCTCACCCATCAGTGCATACTTCTTTAGATGGGATGTGGACACTTTCGGAGTCATATAACATGAATAAAAACATGAATATTATGTAAATTGTTCTTGAAAATGTGAAAGATTGAAATTCAATGCTCACGGTCTGCAGAAATGTTGAGTATGGTAAAGACTAAGACACAATGAGGACAACATGATGAAGAGGTCATGGACAGTGTGTGTGTTACCCCACTGTCAATGTAAAAGATGGTGGGTGCAGAGGTATATACTTACACACATACCTGGGCAGGTTGTTTCAGTATTTTTGTCACAGTCATGGCACTTAATTGTAGGTACCACTGGACTCCAGAGATTAATTTGTTCACTGTGTAATAATTTTCTGTCATCCTAAACCCTTTTTCCAATGTGGATGTGAATACCCTCAAATCAAAGCTGTGAGACTGCACTTTAAGCCCATATTCATTATTTAACTATAACTTAAATATGTTTTGGTAAAGAGCCAAAATAGCAAAACTTGTGTCAGTGTCCAAATATATATGGACCTGACTGTAGGTCTACCTTTTGCCACCAAAACAGAACTGACCTGTCGAGGCATGGACTGCCTGTGTGTTGCACTGACACAGAACCAGCATCAACTTTTTGACCTACAGCAGCTTGTCTGTTGTATCGGACCATGCGGGCCAGCCTTCACTTCACACGTGCATCAATGAGCCTTGCCCACCCATGACTCCATCGTAGGTTTATAGCTTTTCCTCCCTTGGAGCACTTTTGATATGTACTGACCACTGCAGAGTGTTTTGGAGATGCTCTGACCCAGTCGTCTAGCCATCACAATTTGGCCCTTGTCAAAGTGGCTTCTAACATATCAACTATGAGGACATGGTGTTCACTTTCTGTCTAATATATCCCATCCACTGACACGTGCCATGGTAACGAGATAATCTGCGTTATTCACTTCACCTATTAGTGGTCATTATGTTATGGCTGATCGGTTATTTTCCTGCTATTTAAAGGTTAAGGTTAAAAAGGGTTAAAAGGTTAAATTATTCACATAGTAAGATGCATAGGCAAGTTCTAGTAATGGGGGTTACACAATTTTCCATCTTAATAATGCTTGCCCTCTGTCTGAGGAGCAGGTGAAACATGCCTTTTCATTCACTGCATAACCCACGTACACATCAGTTTATAAATGTTAATTAATTTTGATTATATAACTGGGAAATAGATGTAATGTGTGATATTCCTGTCACAGTGCACAAACGACTGACAGGTGGATATTAAAAGCTGACCATTTCCAAAAATTCCCCCAGTAAGTGTGAAAAAAATAATGAGCAGCTGAGGAGCAGCAGGAGACGAGGCAGATAAATAAATATCACCTGCCTGGAGGAAAGGCAAGACAAGTCAATCATATCTGATCATCAAAGGCTGGCGTCAATCAAGTCATAACAGAAAGGATTTTTCATCGACATCATTTGGATCTAAGAAAACATGCATGAAATTTTATTGATATTGTGGTTAAAGTATGTTGTGAATTTTTCTTCATTAATCCCAGACTCAGTGATCAACACATGATTCACTGATGGCTCATTGACAGCTCAGGAGCACCTTCAGCCACAGACTCATCCAATCCCGAGCCTCAAAGCGCTTTAGAGGCTCATTTGTGCCATCAGCCATCAGGCTCCACAACATCACAGAACCAAACTGACGGATTTTCCTGATCATATTTCAGACATTTATCAGGTTGTAAATGGTTGTAAATAATTATTATTGATTGTACAGTGTAAATAGTGTGTTATTACTTCTATAATACTGCATCTGTTCTTTTATATTCCTTTGTGCTGCTATGTCGACCAAAATTAAAGATATATTATAACTTTAAATAACTTTAATCCCTCGTAGGGGATTAATAAAGTTATAGCTTACCTTATAAATCATCTATGCATAATTTGGTACACTTCTGTCTCTCTTCATCAGGATACACCAATGAGCGGGACTAGTTAAATGCACAACGCTCACAAACCAACTACTTGAATATTTACATTTTGGCAAAAAGCAGGATTAGTGGTAGTTTTGAAGCATGATATAGCGCTATATATATTCATATATATTATTTGACTTCTTAGCATTAACACAACAAACACTTCTGCTCTCTATCAGCACTATTATCTGAAGTAGACCAGCGTTGACAACCGGAGCCCACTGCACTGTGCGTTGTCTTTAATATTAGCTGCTGGCGTTATTTGAAATCCATTCTTCTGCTGTAGCTTCAGCCATTGTTCTGCTCTGAATAGTCATGTGGAGGCGAGGCTGCGGTAGGATGACAAAATGCCTACAGAACTGGGACCAACTGACCACCTGCCCCTTATGAATGCATAAAACATGTAAATAAAAGTAGCACGATGAATGTATCCAAATGTAACAGAGTAAAAGTAAGGATTTTTCTCTAAACATCTACTTAAGTGAGAGTAAAAAGTATGCTGCAGAAAACTCAAATTGACAACTGACTCAAAAAATTACATGACTACATGCAACAAAGTAAATGTAACTGATTAATTCCCACCTGTGGATAGTGGCAACAAAGCAGTGACAGTTTACCAGTAGCCAATTAACCCAAAACCAGCCTCAAAATACACACTGTTTACCCTGTGTTGTTCCAAAGTAATTTACTGATAAAAGTCACAGGGACTACAATGACCGTCAATCAAAAGCCTATTGTATTGAGTGCCAGTGATGATACCTGTTTCATGTAGGCATAACACATGGTCTCTGCTACACGTTTCCCCTCATCGTAGCACGCTCGAGGACCAATTGGATTCACATGCCCCCAGTACTCCTCATTTTGTGGGTGTACCTCTGGATCTGAAAGACAAACATTTTAGAAACATTTTTAAATGTGGGTATTCAGTTTTCTGCACAGAGAATGAAACAGGGGTGATTTAGAATAGCATGCTTCCCATCTTGCAGATTGACATATTCATAGAACTTTGGTGGTGCAGTGGTTAGCACTATCGCCTCACAGCAAGAAGGGCGTGGGTTCAAACCCTGGTTACCCCGGCCTTTCTGTGTGGAGTTTGCATGTTCTCCCCGTGTCTGCGTGGGTTCCTAAATTGTCCTTAGGTGTGAGAGTTTGTCTATGTGTGGCCCTGCGATGGACTGGCGACCTGTCCAGAGTGTACCCTGCCTTTCGCCCGAGGTCACCCTGTACGCAGGATGTGAAACACAGTGTAATTTTGTGTTTCAGTTGGTTTAAACTAGATAATGTGAGCTTGCCTGCAATGATGTGTGTGATAACTTTCACCGTCCACTTGATCGATTAAACAAAATTCAAATAGGGCAGGAGAGAACAAAGATGAAGAGAATAAACTGAGTGATGGATAACGTAAGTAGTGTAGGCGGTGTAGCACAGATAAAACCTGGAGGAGGAACTAGTCTAAATGACTGAATTAGTATAACATTAGAAAGTATATTGTTAATTTAATAGTAAACTGTAAGTTTGATAATATATTCATTATGTTACTATATTCAATATAATTTCATATAATAGTACATAACTTACCACTAGTATAATATTCATTCAAATTACAGCTGTTTCAGTTAGGGGTTGTTTTTTTATTCATAAACTTTGTGCAAGAAAAATGCTCTAGGAGGCTACATGATAGTCTCCAAGCTTGATTTTGGGCAGGCTACTAACTCGTCAATAATCATACCCATTTATGCAGAGTTCAACATTTATAAAGTTTGTTGCAGCACATCAAACTTTTTTTAAATCCCGCTCTATCCAGGCATCTCGCTGTTTTCAGGAACGGGGCCACAGAGTGACCGGCCAATTGGGTTAATTCTGTTACTCCTGTTCGCCACTCCGACTATGTTTTGGACAATTAGCACTGAGGGTCCGACGGGGTGGGAGATTACAGTCGGTTGTACTCATAAATAATTTTCCGCTTCGCACAGATCTATTTCAGGGAGCGTTTAAGAGAGAAATAGGCGCTCGGCAGATCCCTGCGCCTAACGTTACAGAAACGAATCACATAGTTGCTACTCTCTGCCTGTCTAGTATTTTTGGCTATGCATTATAAATAAATATGTTCATCTACACTTTTAACAAACAAACTTTTGGATGAACAGGATTTTCACATTTTTATTGTGACTTTTTATTAGCCTTAAATTGATTGATTGACTGACTACAATAACCCCAATAATCGATCACAAAGAGAACTAGATGTGGATGACTGTAAGCTATCTTTCTTACCTCCATAAACCTCGGAAGTAGAAGCAAGGAGAAGTCTGGCACCCACACGTTTGGCCAGACCTTGAAGACAAACAAAACAGTGAGAACAGTCTTTTTTTTGCAAGAAACAAAGGAGACCAAACCCTGTCCTACATATTTCACCACTGCCAAGGCAGCCCATCTGCAAAAGGTATCTTTTAAAAAATACTCTGTGACTGGTCTATTACAATGTCCTGAACAAGTTTGTTAATATTCTTTCACTGCCTGACAATACTATATCTGAATAAAGTATTACCAATAAAGTGTGTTTATTTTGGTTCCTGTGATACAGATTAAATTTTTCATCCACAGAAGTTGTTCTAAAATGTCTTTCAAAAATCCACCATTGTTCGTAAAAGGGGAATCTTGTCTGTCTAACCGTGTCACTCTTTTGCCCTGTACTGTAAAACGGAAGAAAACAAATGAAATTTGATTTTCATAGTCTGAATGTCCAAGATCTGAAGTGATCTTAAAATAAAACACATTCACTGTATTTTGTGCCTTATTACACAGATTAAAATTTCTTGCTGGATTACAAATAATAAATGACAAATGTATTACAGTGCTCTTAAGAATGTGGAACAAAAAGCACATTTGTGATAGACTTCAATAATTGACGACAAAAGATGTTATTAGAAAAAAGTCTTATATAAAGCCTTGTTTTTGGACCTTACATAAACTCTATCAGTAGCCTGCCCTTAGCTGAATGTACTCACCAAGCATGTTAAGAGTGCCGATGGTGTTAGTCTTGAGTGTTTTGATGGGATTGTACATGTAGTTGGGAGGAGAGGCTGGAGACGCCAGGTGATAGATCTGGTCGACTGTAAAGAGCAGGAGAAACATACATCATCTCACCTTGAAAAGCACCTCTATTTATTTCCAATGTTTTGTTCTGCGGCTTTTGGAACTTTGACCGTGATACCTTAACTGACAGCCGGCCTTGGAGGTCTACGGTGAAGCATAAGGGGACCATATATGGAGTACAAAAAAACCTATCTGGGGAAGCAGCTGCTGAATAATAGATTTAACCTGAAGGAGCGTATAAGTCAGAGAAAAATGTGTCTGTCAGTTGCATCTAATGTTCACTAGTGAGAACTTTCTATATTTTGATGTGGCTCAGAGCACAATTTGAATATTTTCTCTTGACACATGGCACAATTAACAAAACAAACATGTATACTCTCACTACTTTATCAGTATTGAGTGAATTTAAATTTCTGACTACTAGGTAGGGCTGGTCGATTTGGCCTAAAATCAAAATCACGATTAATTGAGTATTTTACCTTGATTACAATTAATTAACGAACTGCTTCTAAAATTTCACACAATAATTGATATAAATGCGCTACCAATGATTTTCACTTGCACACTGCGTGAGTACGGCAACACTCAACGTTTGGTAAGCAGCGTCTCCTCATTCACCAAAGGACATCTATCTGCCTGACAGCTGAGGTTATAAGAACAGCCAAGTTATGTCGTGTAAGCATGTGTGCAGCAAGTGTGTGGGCGAGCGAATGTGAGAGAGAGAGAGCAGCAGAAAGTGGCGGTAAAAGCGAGCGAGTTCTAAGTTGTCAGTCGGGTGACAGTGTGTCCGTTAAAAAAACGCATGTCAACAAATGCCTTTTGCTTCCCAACTGCTGGAAAGTAAAGGCACTTAGCGCTAGCGAACATCTCCCTGTGCTTTAGACTCCGGTTTGGAAGCTGAGCAAAACTGGACGGGGTGTCACATGACCACATACGCAGTTGTATTTTTTTAAGGGGAAACTACATGAACACACACAGTGGGGAAATATTAATAGGATTAAAAAAACAGACATGGTGAAATTGCGTCGGTTAGAGGCTCTGAATTTTGGTTTCGATTACTTCTCAATTAATCGTCCAGCCCTTCCACTAGGGCAAGAACTTCTCCCCTCAGTCTGACCATATGCCCCTCAAAAAGTTAAGTGTCCCTTGGCAACAGTGGCCTTGATGGCCCACCCACACTGCCCCAGATGATTTCCTAGTTTTATCCTCTGCCTCGTTCTTGTCAATACGGTTTTTAGACACTAGTGTTTTTTATTAAGATTCAACATCAAGTGAAACGCAGCACACACAGTGGGTTGGATTTCAAGCCTGGTATGAACCACAGATATACCAGGCTATTTATTACGATAGTTCGACACAAGAGCGAGAGATAATAAAATAAGCGAGGTTTGGATTTGGCTGGCTGGCTATTTAGCTAGCCAATATCAGGAGCACTTTGCTGAAATTTGTTAAGCTTTTCATAAAGTCAATACGCTCATCAGTGTCAAGTAAGAGAGCTCAAGGGGACGGGCTAGAAAGAGTGAGAGTACAGACAGAAGTGTAGACGTGATCATGATGCCACCGTTCTGTAGTTTAGAGTATGAACTACACTGCAGACTAGAGATGCACCAATTACAATTTTCCTGGCAAACTCTTATTTCCAATTTTTTAATGGTCTGACTTGCAGAATGTGATTTCAGCCGAGTCCGATTTTCTTTCTTTCTAAGACCTATAATTGACAGCATACACAAACATCTCTAAATTTTCTTTAATGGAAATTAATTAATTTCTTTCTTTCTTACTTTCATAATAAAACATTGAAAATTAAATACCTTTTACATTTACTCCAATGGCTTTTAGTCATTGGTGTGAGTTAAAAGAGTGGAAAGGATGCAGGACAGATTCCGAGCTGGCCGTCTTCCTGTTGGACCAGTAAGTAGTAACTTATTAGCAAGCTTGCTATGTCTTCTGTTGTTGCACTTGCTTGATGTTGTCAAATATACAGTGATAAAAGGTACATTATGTTGTTGTGTTTACTAGATTCATGGATTTGTTTATGCTGTATCTGTATTTGTTATTTTTGTTCTCTGCAATTTATAACTGCTAAATTGAATAGTTTTGATTAGATTAATCTTGTCATAATTAAATGTAAACTTTTGATTTTGAAACTGCTTTCGCAACATTGTTAAAATGAAACATTCATGCCAATAAAGCACACTGAACTGAACTGACTGTTGTGTCATTAGCTAGTCTAATTGTTATGCAGCTGGCATGGCAGACTCCGTGAACAGTCTTTTACAATAACAGTGACTATATTCAATGTAAATCGTACACGTCTAGGTGATACCAATCTATCTTATCAAATCAATGCATCACTAGTATTGTGGATGCATTATATCATTCTAATGGATGGCGCAGTCCAAGGTCGTCTTGCCATAAACTGGAGCAAAGCCTGTGAGCTAGTTCAAAGGAGACAACCAAAGTGCACTGCAACATACAGCCAGCTACACATTGCACCCATTGCAGTTGGTTGGTGTTATCTGAGCAATTAGCAAGACCCCCCCATTAAAGGAGTGGTTCTGCAGGTGGTGACCACAGACCACTTCTCAGTTCCTATGCTTCCTGGCTGATGTTTTGGTCACTTTTGAATGCTGGCGGTGTTTTCACTCTAGTGGTAGCATGAGACGGAGTCTACAACCCACACAAGTGGCTCAGGTAGTGCAGCTCATCCAGGATGGCACATCAATGCGAGCTGTGGCAAGAAGGTTTGCTGTGTCTGTCAGCGTAGTGTCCAGAGCATGGAGGCGCTACCAGGAGACAAGCCAGTACATCACGAGACGTAGAGGAGGCCGTAGGAGGACAACAACCCAGCAGCAGGACCACTACCTCTGCCTTTGTGCAAGGAGGAGCAGGAGGAGCACTGCCAGAGCCCTGCAAAATGACCTCCAGCAGGCCACAAATGTGCATGTGTCTGCTCAAACGGTCAGAAACAGACTCCATGAGGGTGGTATGAGGGTGGGGGTTGTGCTTACAGCCCAACACCGTGCAGGACGTTTGCCATTTGCCAGAGAACACCAAGACTGACAAATTCGCCACTGGCACCCTGTGCTCTTCACAGATGAAAGCAGGTTCACACTGAGCACATGCGACAGACGCGACAGAGTCTGGAGACGCCATGGAGAACGTTCTGCTGCCTGCAACATCCTCCAGCATGACCGGTTTGGCGGTGGGTCAGTAATGGTGTGGGGTGGCATTTCTTTGGGGGGCCACACAGCCCTCCATGTGCTCGCCAGAGGTAGCCTGACTGCCATTAGGTCTCACCCCTTGTGAGACCATATGCTGGTGCGGTTGGCCCTGTGTTCCTCCTAATGCAACACAATGCTAGACCTCATGTGGAGTGTGTCAGCAGTTCCTGCAAGAGGAAGGCATTGATGCTATGGACTGGCCCGCCCGTTCCCCTGACCTGAATCCAATTGAGCACATCTGGGACATCATGTCTCGCTCCATCCACCAACGCCACGTTACACCACAGACTGTCCAGGAGTTGGCGGATGCTTTAGTCCAGGTCTGGGAGGAGATCCCTCAGGAGACCATCCGCCACCTCATCAGGAGCATGCCCAGGTGTTGTAGGGAGGTCATACAGGCACGTGGAGGCCACACAGTAGTGTGGTTTTCCACTTTGATTTTGAGTGTGACTCCAAATCCTCCATGGGTTGATAAATTCGATTTCCATTGATCATTTTTGTGTGATTTTGTTGTCAGCACATTCAACTATGTAAAGAAAGGAGTTTTTAATGAGATTATTTCATTCATTCAGATCTAGGATGTGTTATTTTAGTGTTCCCTTTATTTTTTTCAGCAGTGTAAGTAAGTTTGAATGTAAAGCCAAAATCCCAACCAACTTTTTTGTTTGCTTCTGTTCCACTAGATTTCAGCACTCAGTGTGATTTCTTTTTTATTTATCTTTCTTAAAGGCTGAAAGGTTACAAAGGTTGCTATAGAGGTTTTCAGTCCAAGATAAATTGATGTCTATCACTGTAATGCAAAAAAAAAAAAAAAACACCTCATCATCTTAAGCCACCTGCAGTTGGGTGTTGTGTTGTTAGTAGCAGCCAGTACTGGCATAGCTTTAGATACACTATTATCCTCCAACGTGTGTGTGTGTGTGTGTGTGTGTGTATGTATCTCTCTCTCTCTCTCTCTCTCTCTCTCTCTCTCTCTCTCTCTCTCTCGGAATCTTTTCTCTTCTCACCAAATATCCTTGTTGACGAATTGTCTGTAGGGCTGTAGGTTTCTGTATAGCTGTTTGTGATTGCTTATTTGTGATTTAGTAGAATTTAGGTTTTTCCATGAACAACTTAAACTTAACCAGAATAACAATAAAAAAATAAAACCAGTAATTAGACATATACATAAAAATAGATAAGATACATAAATAGAAAATACATAAACAAAAGGTAAAAAACATAAAATACAAAATGCATAAAAGAATAGGGGGACAATTTAAATATCAAATAGCAGCAGGTGAAGCGTAATATTATTTTAGTTTGAAAGCTAGTCTAAAGAGGAGGGTTTTGATAAGTGATTTGAATGAGTCCAGCCGTATTATACAAAGTTCCTATCTTAAGTCTTAAGATAGGAAGAGTCTGAGATAGGATTTTTTCCAATTTGGTATCACAGAACTAACTTTAGGAATCCTATCTTATCAAACTTCATCCTATCTTATCTCAGGTTAGGAAATCCTAAATACTCAATCCAACATCGGTTACCTAGCAACCAATGCCAATTTTCTCATCTCAGGAGCTAAACAGCTTTTAATCGCTGTTTTTTATTTTTTTTATTTTTTAATGAAACAAACTGAAAATGGAGCAGAAACAACAACAACTATTATTGAACTTCAAGTCAGATGACTTAGAGATGTTGGTAACCTCCGTTGAGAATTCCAAATTCACGTAACGCTTACCTGGAGAGATCAAAGATGAGAGTGAGCAAAAATAGAGGACACAGTCACCACCACATATAAAAAAAACTACCAAAAACAGCGATTAAAAGCTATTTAGCTCGGCGAAATGAGAAAAGTGGCATTGGTTGCTAGGTAACAGACATAAAAGTTGATAACCGATGTTGGATTGAGTATTTAGGATTTCCTAACCTGAGATAAGATAGGATTCCTAAAGTTAGTTAGGATTTGCTTCTGTAATACCAAATTGAGAAAAATCCTATCTTAGACTCTTCCTATCTTAACTTATGACTTAAGATAGGAACTTTCTGTAATACGGCCCCAGTAATAGATTTCTGGAAACTCACAAACAGCAAGGATCAGTCTTTCTTCCAATGATTTGTGCTGAGTGTCGCGTACAAAAAGTTCCAGACGGCCGTGTGTGTGAGACGACCACGACCGCGACAGTTTCACGGGAACACCTGTCAGAATGCCCGCGTCTCACTTCCTACACACTCGCCTGTCATTGAAAATGAATTACAAGGTGCGTAAATCGCTTACAGTGTGAAAATGCCTTTAATCTGTAATGGCCTTATTCCTAAATCAGTTTCTAACCCTTATTACCATGCAGTTAAGATAGGATCTGCAGGTTAGGAAGTATCTATAATTTGGCCCCTGGTCGCTACATTCTTGGATGTGTATGGGTAAGGATTTCAAAAGGGAAGGGGCTGCAATGGTGAAAGGTACTGTTTACAAAGCTAGCCACAACACTAGCTGTCTGAGGCTCATGTTTTGCTAATATAACATGCTAAGTAACTGTTAATTTAATGTTGGACTAAGTCCGTATTTCTCCTGTGTGTCATCTGAAATTAAAAGATACTGTGCTTTTGACAAATGGGAAAAAATGCTGAAAATCGAACCTGTTCTGAAAATGTTTAATGACAGACGAAAGTCGGTGTGTAAACATGATTGACACAACATGAGGCTGTATTGATTTTAAAACGTGCAACAATTTCATTTATTCAATCGATTCACTTCCTCTTTTCAGAAAGTTGTTTTTAGATGTAGGAGGAGTGTTTTGTTTATTTTAATTATCTTTAATTTGTTTGCACATTAATCTCCTGTTTCTATTAGCCTGGTTTTCATTTGATATTGTTGCTCCTCTTCTTTCTCTAGGCTTGAGCCACATGAGGACGTAACAATAGTAGAAAAATTAGTGCTAAAATTATGGAGGAGCCCTCCCTGGCTCCCCCATAACCTGAGCTGTTTTAGTTAGCTCTGGTCAACTGTATGTAAAAAAACAATTGATCACGTCCCACATTTACTCTCACTCACCCTCAATATAGAGAGGCTCCACCACATCATGATTAATGAGCTCAAAGTTTTCGTGGCCAATCCAGTGCTCCACATTCCTTTTTCTTCCTGTGAAAAAGTTGTCCACCACAGTCACCTCATGGCCATCCATCATCAGCTTGTCAGTCAGGTGGGAACCCACAAAACCAGCCCCACCAGTAATCTAGTGGAAGAATACACATGTACGATAACATCAGCAAAGGATATTTTATCAGTAACATTTGCCCTTCTAAGGCTACATTCAGACTGCAGGCCAATGTGACCCAAATCCGATATTTTTGCTCATATGTGACTCAGATCTGAACAGTGTGAACAGGCCAAGTCACATGGAATCTGATCTTTTCCAATTCAGATTTGGGCCACTTTCATGTTTGGTCTAAATCCTATTCAGATCGGTTCTTTTTAGAAGTCTGGACACTCAGGTCGGAATTGATGCGACTTTGACGTCACTCTAGAGCAGCTGTTGTCACAGTCCTGCTGCAGACGGAGCCACTATGAACGAAAAAGCTCCACAAAAAGAATTTGCACTGCTTCTGCTCAAACTGTGTGTGCTTGCTCAGGCTGCTTCTATGCGCTCGTGAAACGTTTGCTCTAAAACATCAGCTCTGCTTTGGCAGGTAATGCTTACAATGTTCACCATCTAAGTTTACCATGTAAGCATGTAATCCATCAAATAGATGTTAAGATATTTCAGTTTGAAGTGGCAGACATTTAGGGCCCGTGTCCACAAAAAAGTTGTATTTGCCAGCAGAAAACTCCAGCTGCTCTTCTGAAAACGCCCATCTCGGCGAGTACCACCATTTAGTCCAAGAATTGAGGTTCGACAAAGCCTGGTTCCAGGATAGTAACTGTTGCTACAGTGTAGTATTTGTCCCGTACCTCCTCTACTATGATTGGACAGCTGAGTAAAAAGTGACAGTGACGAGCGCAGTGTTTTTCCCAAAGTTGAACATTTTTCATCTCTTGGCGACTGGAAAAATCGCTCAGCGCCTTGTCACGCTGCTGCCGTTTTTAACAGCTGCTAAAAACATGGCGCTCCCATTGCAATGAATTGAAAAAAGACTCTGGCGTCAGAAAAAAAATGCTTTGATGGACACGGGCCCTTAGCCAGTGAAAAAGTGCTGCTAAAATAGCACATCTCAGGGTTATGACCTCAATGTAATAATTGCTATTGTAAATGTCACTGTCATTTGAAATTGTGTGTTTTTCGCATACCAAAATTCTCTTCCGATCCTTTTCTGAGAGGAATTTCACAGGTGGGTATTTCTGAGAAAAACTGGGAAAGAGAAGACAAACTCCTTAGTGATGAACATCTGGAAGAAAAACTCAAAAAAGAAGCACACAAAACAGAACAATATCTATGAGCTAAATGTAAATCCAGTTCTTGAATAATTAATAAATGGGATTTCACTGCATTTTTCTGAAAGCTCTGCTGAACATGCACCCTAACTGAATTGACTTGCCCTGCCATTAATGTAATGATGTGTGATGAGTATTGATGTTAGCGAGATAACTTCAGATTTAACCCTGGGTTTTCCTACAACGGCAGTTTTCGTATTTTATGAGCATTTATTTTGGTATTAAAGTTAAGTTTAATATGAATTTGTTTATTCTAACTTTAGGTTGCATTTGTTTCTTACGTAATAGAGACTTGTCATGTACCGCCCCACCTTTTGCTATTATATAACTCAGGTAATGCCTGAGTTTTTAGTATATGTTGGGAACTGAAGCCGTGGTTGAGATATAGTCTTTTGATCCTATTTGAGCACTTCTTACGGCATGAATGGATTTTTCATTTTGTTGCTTTATGAAGTAAATTAAAAACAATGTTTGTAACACTTTTGAGTAAGTTAAACGAATGAATCTGACTTTTAAAGTGACGAGAAGATCTTGAAAGTGAGTTGGAACGACCCACTGATTCAGTGCCCATGGCTTTTTAATGTCGAAAGGCTATAACTGTTATACACGCCATAAGAATACATCTAAGCAACACATTCATATAATGGGACAGACAAATGTAATTAGTCAGATCTACTTGTGCCCTAATGATGGGGAAGTGATATTATAAGCCTGTTAACTTGTGCATTCACACAGTTTTTTGAGAGCCGTCTTTTTCTGCATTTGGCAGCTGCAAATCTGTTGTATGTAGCAAATCAGCACAGCATGCAGCTCTTCCATGGACTTCAAACTGCTCTAACATAGCACACATAACTGATAAATGTTTAATGGTGCAGGTGTACTCTATGTGTTATAGTTTTGCTATGAATGAAAATGAGCAATTAAAAGTAATTAAAACATCCATATAATACTGGGTCTTAATTGTAATAAATAGACCATTAACCTTTCACTGAGCTTTTACAGACTGGTGACAAATTAAAAAAACTGAATAAATGAATGCAGATGCTACCACACCAATCATGCTCCATGGCATGTATACAAATGCTGAGCAAGCCCAGTTGATTCTGATTTTGTATTAAGATGGCAAGAGGAAAAGATGTAAGTGACATTAAAAGAGGGTTCATTGTTGGGGCACAGATGGTAGGAGCTTCAGTTACGACGACTTTTCAACTGGCTCGTGTTTCAACAGGAACAGTGATGCATTTAGATCTGTGGGAAAGAAATGTTTGGTTTGCAAGTAATAACTGTCATATTAGCAGAAACTTGATCACAACTCTTTTGTTGCTAAAAACATCTGCTTTAAAAAAAAACAGACAAACGGAGGGCGCTTGCTCTGGCATTGTATGAGGGTGAGAGGTGTAGGCTACAAACACGCAGGAGACAGGAAAACGGAGATCCGTGTGGGTACATGAGATCCTCAGAAAGGGGAGAAACTGCTGGTAGTACCACCAGCTGGTCTAGTAGCTTCATCTTAATGATGGCTGGTTCAAGGCTTATTTTAGGTGAGTTGGGGACAGTTTATTGCTCTCCGGACAATAAAAGCAACTGTAAAGTTCCTTCACCACAACTGAGGACCTGTCTCTCCATTCATTAGATTGGACAATGGAAAAAAATGTGTATGACGTTGAGAGTTGAATTTTTTTCAACTCCGTACGCTCAGAGCGCTCCTTCGAAAACACAAGGTGCCGCAGGCACCAAGGGTGCATAAACAGCGCGCAGAACACTCACTGACAATAGAATACAGTTTTTTTAAAAAGCTACAATAACTGCGTTCTGTCTGACGAGCCTTGGGTCAAGAGCTGAGGTTGGACGAAGCCCAGTTCCAGGATAGTAACCGTTGCTACGGTGTGGTATTTGTCCTGCCCCTCCCCTCTACTGTGATTGGACAGCTGAGTAAAAAGTGACAGTGACGAGCACAGCGTTTTTCCCAAAGTTGAACATTTTTCAACTCTCGGCAACCGGGAAAAATCGGACGCTTGTGTCAGAAAAAAATATGCGACTTTGGTAGCAATGTACTATTGTAGCATCTAGTCTGTGTGTGACGTTTGTGGTACTGGGAAATACTGGCAGAGTGAGACCTCTTACTTTCTTTATGCTAAAAAGCAGCTAGCCCAGGTCTGACAACCATCCACCATGTCTACTTCTGGAGTTTTCCTGTTATTTTCCTGTCCTTCTAAGCAACACCATATTTGCCTGCAGAAATGCTCTCTGCCTCGGCTCCAGGTAATCTAAATGCATGGTGGCGAGGAGAGGAGGTGCCAGGGCTTTCATCCCAACTTCTGACGAGCATACAGGTAAGCTGCAGTGGCTATCTAATAAGCAGCAAGACATGTAGCGTCAGCCAATCACCACCATTATCGTATCTTGGTACAAACGTGCTGCATGCTAATTGGCTCACTGACGCTAATGAGGTATCAAAATTTGGTACCAAATGACAAAGCATTCTTGGATACTCATTAGTATCGAAGCAAGATGGTCTGCACATTAAAATATTAAATTTGGTACCCAGTCCTAGATATTAGGGTAGAGTAGTATCTTTATAATAAAGTTGAATGCACATTTGAGAGTTTAGTAGTAGAAAACCACAGACACTGGGCTACTGAGATGTGGGGGAAAAAACGATCTGATCAGATGAGTCTTCCTTCACCATAATCTTAAGAAGGAACCGAGTAAATGTGTGGCATACACCAAGAGAACAGTACAGGCGTGAATGCACCAACACCCGCACAGTGAGGGGATCCAATGGCACTGTTTTGCTTTTGGGGGCATTTTGCAGGCATTGTTTGGGTCCACTTGTCCCCTTAGAGGGAAGGGTCACTGTTGTTCAAGGTGAACACCTTTACCTTATGATGAAAACTCTCTATCCTGATGGGAGTGTTCTCTTCCAGGATGACAATGCCCCCCATCCATGTAGGGCTTGAGGGGTCACCGAATGGTTCGATGAGTATGAAAATGATATTTGTCATATGCTATGGCCTTCGCAGTGTCCAGATCTAAACCCAATTAAACAACTATGAGAGGCTAAGAGAGACGTGTTAGACATTGCCCTCAATCACAATCATCAAACCACAAAATGAGAGAATATCTTTTGGAAGAAGGGTGTTCATCCCTCCACTAGAGTTCCAGAAACAGTACAATCAACACTAAGGAGCATTAAAGTTGTTCTGGTGGGATGTGGTGGCCCAACACTTTATGTTGGTTTTCCCTTTAATTTGTCACCCATCTGTAGTTGGTATTACATTATAAAAAATTTGCTTGTATTGATAGTAAGAAGAGATACAAATTGTCAGTGTCCTCAAGTCTGCAGATAAGTATTGAAACACTTTTCTCTAACTAATTCTGAGCATGTGTATATGTGTGTTGACATTTGTGCATAAAAAAGGGGTACAAACCTTTGTTCCAGATTACGAATCTTCTCTCTAAGAGGAGCCACAGCCTAAAGTGTGACGAAAAGTGAGACATATGTGAAATGAGAACACAAGTCAATGCTTAGTAATTATTAAATTGATCCTACAGTATGTCTTATAGGTCATGTTAGCACAACAGCATGTTAATGTAAGGGTACGGTTAAGTTCATGTCATTTTCATGTCCATGGTCATTTAGGAATGTACCTCTTCACCACAAACATGTATAAATTTCATGGGGAAAACGATCCCTCTATAATCAAACTAATCCTCCTTCAAATAGAACAAAGTGGGGTTATATAAGAAGCAACAACATTAAACCTATCAGTGAAGGTTCCCAGTCATTTAGGTTATAGTCATCCAAGGAAGGTTAAAATCAAGTCCAGTTGTCCTTGATTTTAACCTTCCTTGGATAACATTCAACCTATGAATAAGAATAACTGAACTCTATGACACAGAATAACCTGTCAACAATAGGAAATAGGAACAAAAACAGGAATATTTGGGAAGACATGGGGTCTCATTTATAAAACTGTGCGTAGGTAACACTATTAAAGGTTTGTACGGACAAAACACAGGAAGAACGTGTGCACAAAAATGTTCTGCTTTATAAGACAAAACACCCCTAATAAATATTAATTCATACCAACTGCAGGAAAAAGACCATGTCAATCACCGACAGAAAAGCTAAAGAAAGAAATTTCACCCAGCGTGACACTGAAGTTCTTGTTGTGGAGGTTGAAGCAAGACAGATGATTCTGTTTGGTGGGCAAAATGAGCGCGCACACACAATGTTTGAGCACCAGAGTGGAAGGGGAACCGAAGCTCAACCCCCTTAATGAGTGAGTTGCAGATAGGCATCTCCCTCCTGAGTAGTGACAGAGGTGGGGGACACGGATATGCAAGAAGCACTGGATGATCCAGTTACATAATTTGGTAAAGTAAACCAAATGCATTGAAGTTGTTAATAAACATTTATTTACAAAAACGCTCCAGTCAATTAACAAGGCTGCCAATCAGTTCTTTTGCAAAAACAGTTGTTTTTTATCCTAAATCATGGTTCTTTCTCTGTGCAATCCAGGGAGGATCAAACAAACAGTATAAGATGTCTAATTTTTAATAAATGATCTTAAACAGGATATATACAGGAATCTTGAAGAAAAAATGTAATACCTTTAAGACCTTTTCAAGACTTTTCAACATATTTCAAGACTGCCATGCCACTTAGAGCTAACCGATTAAATCAGCCACACAACTTTAAAATGGACATTTTTGAGTTTTTAAAAGGAATTTAAATATAGTTATAACATATTTATTGCCTATATGTCATCAGGTTGTAAAAATTGAGGCATTCACCAACTTTCTCAGTTGCCTATAACAGCCTGTAAGAGCCAACAGTTTTCTATGTGAAGGACTGGTCAGATTTCCTGGGAAAAGCAACTGTCTTACATAGGCTATGACGTTTAGGTACGCAACATTAAAGCAAATCATGTGAAACACAGTGTAATTTTGTGTTTCAGTTGGTTTAAACTAGATAATGTGAGCTTGCCTGCAATGATATGTGTGATAACTTTCACCGTCCACTTAATCAATTCAACAAAATTCAAATAGGGCAGGAGGGAACAAAGATGAAGAGAATAAACTGAGTGATGAGTAACGTAAGTAGTGTAGGCGGTGTAGCACAGATAAAATCTGGAGGAGGAACTAGTCTAAATGACTGTATTAGTATAATATTAAAAGTATATTGTTAATTTAATAGTAAACTGTAAGTTTGATAATATATTCATTATGTTACTATATTCAATATAATTTCATATAATAGTACATAACTTACCACTAGTGGGCTATAATATTCATTCAAATTCCAGCTGTCTCAGTTCGGGGTTCTTTTTTATTCATTAACTATGTGCAAGCAAAATGCTCTAGGAGGCTACATGATAGTCTCCAACCTTGATTTTGGCCAGGCTACTAACTCGTCAATAATCATAACTGTTTATGCAGAGTTCAACATTTATAGTTTGTTGCAGCACATCAAACTTTTTAAAATCCCGCTCTATCCAGGCTGTGATTGATTTGTTCAGAAAAAGTGACATTGACGAGAGCATCGGCTTTATGAAAAGTTGAACGTGTTTCAATAATATGCATCAATTTAGCTAACGTTAGCCAAACCCACACTCCTTGAACTTTCCCGGCGCATCTCGCTCTTGTTTTTCAGGAACGTAGCTGTTCAAGTGGCCACAGAGCGACCGGCCAGTCGGGTTAATTCCGTTACTCCTGTTTGCCAACCCGACTATGTTCTGGACAATTAGCATTGAGGGTCCAACGGGGTGGGAGATTACGGTCGGTTGTACTCGTAAATCATTTTCCGCTTCACACGGATCTATTTTTGGGAGTGAAATAGGCACTCGGCAGATCCCTGTGCCTAATATTACAGAAACGAATCACACAGTCGCTACTCTCTGCCTATTCAAGTATTTTTGGCTATGCATTATAAATAAATATGTTCATCTACACTTTTAGCAAACAAACTTTTGGATGAACAGGATTTTCACATTGAAAAAAATATCTTCAAAATGTAATACCTTGTTAAATGGCGATTAAGACTTTTTAATACTTTTTATTAGCCTTGAATTGATTTATCACCTTTTAAGACTTTTTAAAGACCCCGTGGACACCCTGTTAAATCATGTTTTTCATTGCTAGGGAAAAACAATCAAATGGGTGTCTGTTCATTTAAGAACACTTATCTGTTTTTGCAATTTCAGTGGCGTACGCCTTCTTTTGTGCATACACACCATTTACAAATGAGACCCCAGTTGTTGGGGTTCTCTCAGATACCCTGCGATCTAGTTTCACAGCTGTCATTTATGTACAGAATATTTTTGCCACATTCTAGGAACCCCCTGTCCCTCTTGGCCTATGCAACAGGTTAGCCCTGATCTCTGCAAATGAAATGGTGATCCAAATAACAACCTCTCAGGTCCTCTTTATACTCCTGTCAAATATCCCTTTGTCACAGGCAGTTACATACATTACGTTACAAAGATCTCAGCCTCCCACACACACTTTAGAAATAAACAGATGACAGCCTGCAAGCAATGCCAAAGTATCATGGAAAAAAGTGGAGTCAGAACCGCTTAAAACAGGTAGTTATGCTAGAATTTCCTGGATGAACAATGAAAGGAAAAGGACACTGGTCATAGGCTTCATTTGTCATTTTGTGTAGCACGATGGAGACTATAACAAATACAGTCTACTATATGTTATATTTGTCATGTATAAAGTAAGGAAGTAAGCAACATGTTGAAAACAGAGTTCCTGCAGGTTAAACTGAAGACTTTTTAGGACCTCTTCTCTATATTGCATATAATGCAATTTAATACCTGCCAAAGTATGGATAGATTAACCAATTAAACATGTATTAACTAACTTGAGTTGATTAAAAGCTGGAGAACTAGTAACAGACAGCCAGATTTTAAAAGAATCCAATCAAAAAAATCCCACACCCTCCCTTTAGGGCTCCCTCCAAAGCCACTCAATCCATCCATCGTCAACGGCTTATCCTGCATACAGGGTCGCGGGGGGGCTGGAGCCAATCCCATCTGACATCTGACGCAAGGCGGGGTACACCCTGGACAGGTCGCCAGTCCATCGCAGGGCCACATATAGACGAACAACCACTCACGCTCACACCTAAGGACAATTTAGGGTCGCCAATTAACCTAGACTGCATGTCTTTGGATGGTGGGAGGAAGCCGGAGTACCCGGAGAGAGAGAGAAGAAGAGAGCAGACACGGGAGAACATGCACAGAAAGGCCGGGGCAACCAGGGTTTGAATCCACGACCTTCTTGCTGTGAGGCGACAGTGCTAACCACCGCACCACCGTCCAAAGCCACTCCCCCACAACAAATTTTCATAGGCAATGAGTGCACAGGCAGGTAGCCAATCATTTCATTCAAATACAATGATTGGGCGTGCTTAATCAATCCACAGATATTTTTAATTTTTGTGTCAGAGCATTTGAATAATTGATTGCTGTCAGAACTTAAAGGGAATCCCAACAAATATAACAAACAAGTGTTTCCAAAATAAAATGCCTACCCCAGCTTTAAGTTGCTGGAATCAACACTTTCCCACTATGAGACGATGGCTTCCTATCTACTGTAGGTGGCAGTGTTTGCTGACTGAAACTCCACAATAAAATATTGAATAGCCTCCTGTCACAACAAACCCACTGATGTTTTTTTTCAAGGCTTTTAAATACCTTCTATGGCCTTTTTTTGTTGTTGAGGAAACTGAGTTAAATGATAGATATCCTTTGTAAACCATTGTAAGTTAACCATTTCTGAGTTATTAAACTCAAAGCTTTCTTACTTTAAATTTAAAAACACCAATATCTGGGGAAACAAAAAAAGAAACTTCAAGACTATGTTGTTATGTTCTTATGAGTGATTTTGTTAGTTAACTAGCTTGCTAATCACTGATTATTGAGATAAATTATTCCAGCCCAAACAACAAAACAGCCCTTTTGCAGATGTGGCTAAAATCGTGAATATCGTTGAGTGCTAACTAGTTAATGTCAGTTTTGTTTTCTTTGGCTTTTCAGCAAACATGGAAGACAATAACGTTGGCTACAGCACAGTAAAATCAGTTCATGTTGGCCCTGTCATTATTAGTGTATTTGTAATTGTGACAGACCTCCGTCACTACGGTTGAGTATGCGCTGTGACTGCGATGCCAACGAGCCTGGCTCTTTGTCAAGTTGCATGTTTGGTACCACGTAGACTGAATCCAGGTGGTGTTACTACTGTTGCCTTTCCGTCGCAGTAATATAAAAAAGATTACCTGTACATGTGTTCTCGCACAAACTTAACTCGGTAAAAAAAAAAAAAAATTGGTAGACTATTAACTTACATTTCGGTGGATATTTTACGCACGGACCAGCTAAAGCAGCAGTGAACACACAAAGTGCAGCTGTTGATTTCAGTTGTTTGACAGGCTACGTCATTAATAAGCCGACGCGTGGCTCACCTGCTGCAGTGATAATGGATCGCTTTGAAATATACGGAAAAAAGACGAGTTCTCAGTCTTTAAGGCGACTTTATAAAACATCCTGCTGATGGACAAAATGGAGCAGGCTGGGGAGAGAGACAGATAGAGGCGGGGCAAACCAGGGTGTTTACCTGAGGTGTAGGTGTGTGTGTGTGTATGTGGGGAGAAGAGAATTCCAAGGCAGGTGCAAAGCATACTCAAAAACAATAATAAGAATGTTCGTGGTCATTAAAACCTGCTTTCACAGGGTGGTATAATGAAAATTTACAAAGCTGGCTCTACGTCGTGATGTCTGTCAGCCATTGCCGATGGTCGTCTGTCGGCCCAACCCTACATGAAGTACAAGTGTGCTATGACAAAAGATAAAAATGAGTGAACAAACAGCACCAGGACATAAAACACTGACACCACCAGCTTTGCAATCTACGTTGTTAGACGTGGATCAACCTCTTTCGCATGGAGGTGGTTTGGCTTTGAAAAGACGGATGTTGCTCAAAAGACGTCAATTGGAAAACTATGTCAAAAAGCTTTTGCTGTTAAAGATCAACAACTAACCACTACACACAATATCAAGCATAGGTAATTCTTTTTTAGCTGTGTCGTTATTGATAAAATCCAAGCATTTCGAAGTATCATTTTTTCCTCAATATCGCAGACACCCGATCGTCAATATTTCTTGGAAAACATAATTGATGGGTCGAATTTTCTTTTCTCTTTTGTAGAACTGGCTACCTCCCTCTACACAAAGGGGGTCATTTAAAGGCAACTCTGGTGACATGGAGGGTAAATGTCAAACAATGTCAGACAACAAACGGGACAACAGATAGTGTTTAAGGTAATTATCAATTGAGCTGTTTTTACATGTAGGTAGTGATAAATTTGGAGTAAGTATGTTTCTGTTATTGCTCCACTCCCATTTTTCCTAAATTCTGAGCACATGATGTGTAGGCGGGAGACACATGACCGATGGCTGCTGATCAAACATTGCGGTCCCCATAACAGTGACGCAATTTTTTCTTTTCTTTTTTCTTTTTTTATTGCTGAAACACGTGACAGAAATATAGTCATCTGAAAAGGAAGCCAGGGTTTGTATTAAAGAGCAAGGGGCCTTGAGACAATCCACCCAGCCAGATCCAACGGACCAGGCACCACAGCAGGTGCTGTGATCATCCCAAAGGAGAAGAAAGAGAACTGGGATAAGATTGATGCCCCAGCTTGCACTTAAGGCTGCTACTAAAGGTCTGGTCTGGATGATCTTTACAGAGACCTGCTCCATCAACATCCTGGATAAAGCACTCGGAGGGCGGATCTAGTTCGCAACTGACAGAACGCGATACTCCGGCAAGATAAGACGAGGCGGACACTGTGGTTCCATCGATAATGCCTGGTGCTCAAATGCAGTCAAAGTCAATGCATACCGTTTCCCAAATGTCAAACATTTTGGTGAAGAAGATGAAAACCGTATCATCATCACTATCTCATTGCTTCTTCTTTTTGTAGGTGACAAATGTATAATTTGTTACAGCAACTGTTTCTTTAGTTCCTTCGCCCCCTGAGACCACATCATGAGCTGCCATCATGTGAATCGAAAAAGAAAGACATGTTGAAGTTACAACTTACATTATTACATTCATCTCAGACAACAAAATTAGGCCCAATAACCTTCAACAAAGTGACCCTCCCGCTTAATAATCGCAAAACACAGCTCCTGGTGTTTGGGCCCAAATAATTTAGCTGTATTGTGTAGTGACACCATTCATTACTTCTTTAAGACACCAGACTGTAAATATCTTCTAGAATATCTTCTTTCCCTTTAGAGCCCCACATTCTCTGAATTTCATGCAGCCTTTACTGCAGAACGCTGTACACATGGTAGGAACATCAGCAGTAAGTTACAAATGGTTCAAAATATGTAGATACTTTGTCTAAATAGAAACAATCTTCAATGAATTAGTAATTCAAATAAGAATAGTTTTATTGTGCCATACTTTAATACAGCTACACACTTATTACAGACATGCTACCAGGATATCATTCCAAAACCAAAGAGAGGAGAGGCTTTAACAAGGGCTACCCAATGCTCAGGTACCATGATTAGTTGTAGGCAGCTTGGCAGGGTGCCCCTCCTCCCCTCAAAAAAGCCTGAGCCACTCGCCACTCACTGACTTCAATCATCACTCACGCAAAGCACTTAGTTCTCAGCTTTACCCCTTCCCTTGTGCATAGTTCCTTTTTACAAACTGAAAACATTGTGCACTTTGTAATTAACAAGCCATATCAATGTTGATATTAAGACTACACTTCCTTCCACCTTTATAATTTCTCATTTGAAGTACCTGACTAGTGCATCAAATTGTGGATTAGTGTTGGAGTGCGATAATTAGCTATATTAGGATGTATGAAGCAGTTTGGCTACGCAAATTTGTCTTGTCTAAGAGAAAATATGTCAATTTACTAGCCTATATTGTCTTGTGATGTTATTTTACAATGCTTGTCATCTTAGATCCGATTGTTTTACGAGATGAGATTCCTGCATGTGTGTACTTTCCCAAACATTCAGTTCTGCACCTCAAACATTACCATTTCAGCAATGTTGATATTATAACACATTCTTAAATGAACATTTTGTTTGTATTAAATACCTTTAATAGTACCATGCTTTGTTCTTGCATCATCTGTCAGGAGGCTAATGTCTAGATAATGTTTATAATATATTTATGTTATCAGAACAACTAATTTAAACAAAAGTTAAATTTGCCACTGGAATGAGCACATTACACTGTAAACGAACGAACTATAGCGCAAGCACAACAAGAATACGGATGAAATGCTTCCGAATATGTTCAAATTCCGTTATTCCATGTCAATTTGTCAAACAGTGTTTTGACGATTCTGAAGATTTGAGTGAGCGTTAACGGACACAGCTGCACAATTAGGGGGGCAAATTCAAGTAGTGAGAAAAACTAAAATAAGGTGGAGAATGAAGTAGAATTAAAATTATGAAAGAAGAAATAACCTACTAGAAATAGAAACATACCCGCTAACTCAAAGCCTTCTATTAATTTAACTTCAGTCTACTGTAAGTCCTTGATTTGAAAGACATACTGTATCCTTGTCTTGTTAGCAATGTCCTGATATGTGCTTTGTTAAATGTGTGTTGGCAGAGTGAAAATCAAAGGTATAAAAATTGTGAAGTGGATTTTTCCACAGCTTATAACATAGCCATCTTAAAAAGTCAGGTTTTTGTCAGAATTGGGACTGGTCTGGGTCAGGCTGTTGTAGTTAGAGGTTGTGAACTAATGTAAATCAATAAAATGTCCTCACATGTATGTCTTTGTAAGGGTGTAATTTAGTAAATGTGTAATTATATGTGCATGAGAAAGAGTCATCATCATGGTCATCTCACATCTCCACACTGGTGAAGAAAGCTCAGAAACGACTGTATTTCTTGAGGCCAAATTCCCGAGCTAAGTTCTTGTCAGCTTTTACAGAGGAGCAATAGAAAGCATCCTGACTGCAAACATCACTAACTGGCATGAGATGTGTACGGCTCAGGACCGCAGGGCTCTGCAGCGGGTGATTAAAACTGCTCAGAAGATCATTGGTGCCCATCTCCCGAGCGTCAATGAGGTGAGGTGCCTGCGCAGAGCCCAAAGGATACTAAAGGACAGTACCCACCCAGCCACAGCCTGTTCACCCTGCTGCCTTCTGGGAACAGATATAGAATTTTCTGCTGCCACACCACCAGACTGCAGAGCAGCTTTTTCCCCCAGCTGTCAGGTTCTTAAACTCAAATTCCTCCTCAGCACTACTTCAGTTTATTTTTGTTGACCATTATTCATAATTGATTCTTTATTAATGTATATTGTCTGCTATGTAGCAGAAGGGAGATACAAACTCAATTTCACTCTATAATTTGTTATATTGTGACAATAAACCTACCTACACAATACTAGAGGTCCTTGGACCTGTAAAAATAAACATAACAAGAGGGTGAAAACAGTTTTCTGAACGGAACTCACTTCATCAATTCTCTGTTCTATCTTCATTTCTCCGTGTTCTTGTAATGATCTGCATTGAGAGAGAGACAAAGACAGGGAGAGGGGGGATGAGATGAAGGTAGCCATGAACACGAGGCCAGAGAAAATGGCTCTTGACTTGTAGCACACTGTTGGGCAGCAACACCTAATCAGCACAATCACTGTATGAATTCTCACAGCATTTCAAAGCAAAGAGAAAAGAGAGAGCTGCTATCTTAGACAGAACAAAACTTTAATTACATGAAAAACATCAGATGGATTTATTTACATATCTAGCGTGGACACGGTATGTTTACCTCTCACATTTAGAGTGAGATATTACACATTTCTCTTGACAATATTTAGAAGCTTAAATAAACAGTCAGTGCAGCTGTCATCTTTGAACAGGATCAACACAATTTTCAACTCTACTATTTTCAATATTTCAGCTACACTGTGGGGGACATAGCTCTGCTACCTCTAAAGCTGTGTGGTGCTGTGTAATCAGAGGTGGCCTGAGGTATAGGCGACATAGGTGATTGCCTATAGTAGGCTTGTTCCAATTGGCGATTGGATCGGCTATCGACGACTGAAGGGATGATCAGCATTTGGTTTTTCATGTGCCAATATTAAAAAATTATTTTAAATAACTAACTATCAGAACTAAGATGACATAAAAACAGTCTGTAGAATCTGCACCACACTGCAGTGTTTCCCATTAACTGATATATTTGTGGCATCACGACATGCCACAATATCAACGCTGACTGCCTCATATACTATTTAAGATGAGTAAAATCATAATTCATTGTGGAGTTGGCTAACCCTTTAACGTTATTAATAAACTAATACATTCAAGTTAACTCTGAGAAGTTAATCTATCTATTTTCTTAACACAATGCTGTCTATCTTGGAGACACACCTTCAAATAAGTTATAAGCAAGCATGTAAGGAGCCTAGCTAATAAGGATAGTTATGTTAACGTTAGAATACAACTGGGCCGTCGAGGTTAGCATGCTTTACATAGTTGCTATCGATTGCACCCCCTTGCGTGCGTGGCTCCACTGTTACACGGTTCTGTGGAAAACACAGTACTGAGCATTTACAGAGGTTTGGGGTGATTTCTATTAAAGCTAATAAGCCTTTTTCTTCCATGCTGGCATTTCACTGACATGCTGCAACTTAACACTGCCCCCTGGCGATCAGATTGCCAAACGGTGATCTCAAGTAGCCATGATCATACAATATGAAAAATAGAGAAGATCGCCCAAGCCTAGCCAATAGGGTGCAAAGGGAGCACCGGTAACAGGAGGAGGTGCTAAAGGTAACATTTGTGTGGATTTGTGGTTAGACTTCTGCCTGATCGGAAGTGTTGAAATCCGTTCGATTTCCACCTCTTTGTCTTATCTTGTTCTGCGTCTGTCAGACGGTCTGATAGGAATACTACCATATCAGTAAAGCAAAACTGCAGGCTAATGCACAGAGTATGGTACAGGCATACTTTTAAAAGATATTATGAATTCTCATAAAATTATCACTCAACATGTCAGAGAACAAAGATAAGTGTTTTGAATGTGCAGAAAGTTTTTATGATAAGGAAAAAAATTGCTGAAATACAGGAGCCATTTAAGTAAAGGAGTTTATAACTGAATTAAAATAAATTAATTTATCCCTTTCTTGAAAAAGATGCCACATAAACATTTAAAGAGGGTACTTTCTCAAACAAAAGGAGGAGTGAAGACTAAATCATGCCTGCATGTGATCTGACTCAGCAGGGATGACATTAGGGCTGGACAATAAAACAATAACAATTGCAATATAATTTTTTTCAAGAAATATTCAATAAATGTTTGATTTTATTCACTTGAATCATACACTAATTAGGACTTTTTTATTAAGATTTTTATTTTGTTTAGGAAAAAGGACTGTTAAAAGCTTTTCCTTAATTTTACTCACACATATTTGTTGACAAAGATTTTATCATAACTGTTATGAATGTTCTACCTCGGACTTGTGAAGTGATCTACTGTTTGGCCTCAAGTGATGACTATAAAGAAGAGTCTAAAACCACAATAACCATCTGGTTTCTTCAACTTTCACTCAAGGGCAAAAATCAGCTCATGATTTGATACTTATGATAATTATCGATATCGAAAGATATGAAACTTTTTATTGTGATAACATTTTTGCCCATATCGTCCAGCCCTTGATGACATCCATCCATCCATCGTCAACTGCTTATCCTAAGTACAGGGTCGCGGGGGGCTGGAGCCAATCCCAGCTGACATTGGGCGAAAGGCGGGGCAGGGATGACATTAAATGAGAAAAGTTTATCTAGAGGAGAATACTTATTTAAAAGCAATACAGAATGCCTGAGAGTCTTACTGCATGCTATTATATTTTGAAGTGTCAATTGCTGCCTAAATGTTGTGTTTACCTTTACATAAATAAAGACATTTCTACCATAAATTGGTGCCAAAAATTTCACCAGAATGTAGGAAATGAATTATTTAATGCTCAAAGTTTTCTGCCTACTTATCACAGCGCCAGAGGGCTGGACAATGTTATTGGGCATAGGGGCAGCAGTCGTCTTATGTGCATGTGTTCTCGCAGATTTCACTCAGTAAAAAAAATTGGTAGACTATTAACTTACGTTACAAGTCGTGTGTATATTTTACGCAGGGACCAGGTCCAGCAACAGTGAACACACAGGGTGCAGATGTTGGTTTCAGTTATTTGATAGGCTACATCATTAATAAGTTGACGTGCGGCTCACCTGCTGCCGTTATAACGGATCCCGGGTGGAAATATACGGAAAAAAGACGAGTTCTCAGTATTTTAGGTGACTTTATAAATCAGCAGCAGCTGGGTTTTACACTCACAATGCTGGCTCGACATCGTGACTGTCAGCCATCGCCGATGGATTGTCTATTGGCCCGACCCTAGTGCACAGTGGGAAGCATTTGTCATAGTGAATTATATATAATTAGATATAAATGTATTATATTAATTAGGGCTGGACGATATGGCCAAAAATGTTATCACGATAAAAAGTTTCATATCTTTCGATATCGATAATTAACACAATGAGTATCGAAAATGATCAGGATAAATGTCAAATCATTACTTCTATCGAGTTTAAAGGCTGATTTTTGCTCCTGAGTGATATTTGAAGAAACCTGATGGTTAATTGTGGTTTAAACTCTTCTTCAGCATGTTCAGTAAATGTCACCGTTGGACTCCCCACTCATCCTACATAATATTACTTGAATTCTGAATAGGGAGTTTTGCGCTTTGATACTCTTATTTAAGTGATGACAAATGTATTATTTTTCCAACTTTATATATTTGACACAGCAGTCGGAAAGGGCTGTTTGAGTTGTTTATATGTTTGATGAATCAAATGTAACACAAATCAAATGAAATAATCATCATTATCATCATCAAAAGGTAAAAAAACCTATACATAAAAAAACAACTTTGGTTACCATGGAGTACAGGCAAATATTTTAAGTAGTTCGGTAAGAGAGAAATCAATTAGTATACCTCATGTTCGTATATGTTCCCCAGACAGCTGGAAGAAAGAAAGAGAAAAGTTGTCACAAAAATGTCAGAGGTCAGCCAAAGAGAAAAACTACTATGACGGTGAGGAAAAGAAGCTCGAGCAGGAAGTGGATTGCAAATCCCTGAGCTGTAAATCATTGACATTTTCCTACTGAGGCGTACAAAATCTGACTATTTTCAAATTGATTAGTAAGACAATTCAACTAGGTAATATCATGTCTCCCAAATCAGGGGATTTCTTACATTTAATCTTCAAACTAACCAATAGATCAATAAAGATCTTTTTATTGGTCTCACCTTTTATGGGCCTTGGTCTTGACCATGTCCAGTATTTTTTCAAAATATGTGACTTTGTTGAGTGACTAATCGATTTATCAACTTCATTGTTTTAATACTAAATCCTATTGCTTTAACCTTCTGAAAACAGTGACTTTAATGGTTACCTTCAGATGTAAATTTAAATCCTTCTTACCACTGCACCACATAATACTGTCTCCCTTAAGAAAATGAAATGGTACATCTCAGGGAGTTCTGAACTTAAAAACCCGGCCCAGAAACCATCCTGAAATATAACTGATTTGAACTGTATGTTGAGGCAACAGTTGTTTCTCATTCTTCCAGTTCTTGCAGGGTACAATGTGGGGGGCTTGGCCACTAAACAGTGTGTTGTGTCAGTTTAAACTTCTCACACGAGTTTACAGTTTGGTTGTCATTTTTGAAAATAAACAGTCACATAATTGAGTAAAGCAGGTGAGATACAGCCAATTACGCACATTAGTGTACTTACAGGCAATGTAGGCGATCAAAGCGAGAGCAAATAGTAGCTTCATCATTCTTCGGTTTAATCCTGATATCAGCCAGATGACCCGCTTCATCATCCGCTCAAGGGACCAGGACAGGACCAGGAAAGGAACGGGCAACACGTTCAAGTCCAGCTATAGCATTTTGAGTCCCGATTGTTCATGTCATTGGTCTTGAGGGTGTCTTGGTTTATTAGGCAGGCTGTCAACGACTTGGTAACCCCAGTTTACATGAAATGTAACTAGCCTGACAGCACAGGCAAGCTAGCTGCTCCTGCTTGGTGTTGACGTAGCAGGAGCAGTTTACGTGGCTAGCGGAGTAAGTTACACTCAGGTAACAGTATCAGGTGGCAAGCTACACTGTGGAGTGTCAACATTCACAACTAAATATAACATCCTTTATCAGCGCCATTCGTCCTGCGACTAAGCAAACAATTATATTAGCTGCAACACATGGCCATTTCATACGTAAACGGATATCTTAAAGAAACATTTACAAACGCAACATCTAACACTGAAGCCAAATCGTTAGCCGTTAGCACCACATTAAAAATTAGCTACGGCTAGCTAGCAGGCTACTAAACTAACAGCGTATTTTTCTTCCGTGGATAGCTGCCGCTAAAAAACAACAGACCCGAATCCGGCCGCACTTTTATATCCAGGTAAGTAACGGGTAAATAAAACAACAGTTATTTTTAACGGCGCACAAATGCACACATATTGTAGTTTGCTCCACTCAGTTGGGCCGAGGAATAGCGGATGAGCGATTAGGCATTGCTCGATTTAGCAGGCTGACTTTTCCCGCAGAGACCGTGTGACGTTCATTTGACTTGGCGAGCCTCTAATAATAAAATACTATAATACTCGTTCTGTTTTATTTGTGTGAGCTTACTACGGCTGTTTCCATGTGTATAGCAATAGTATAATATTGTACCAGACATCATTATTTATGACGGCGAATCCTTTTTTTTTTTAACACTGACACAACGGCCCATTCATTCCATGACCAAAACTTTCCACACTAACCTTGTTGATGTTGAATACCTTGTTGATTTCCCCATTTCAACCACTGTAACCTGTTTGGCGCTGTAAGCTTTTTGTGTGGCAAGCAGTATGTAGTCCTGCGTTTTAGTTATGTGCCTTAATTCTTAGTCCTGTTCCTTAGTTCATGTTTTAGTGTTTACCTCTGGGATCCGTTTCAGAAAGCGGGGTTAGTGGAAATTAAGCCAGGGGCATTGCTAGTCATAAAGCTCTATGGGTCACAGACCCCCTCAACCCCCATGTACATTTTTGATTTATTTTTGATTGAAGTGTCTGAAATGTGTTAGCATGTAGGGGAGAGCCGGGACGAATGAAACACTTTTCAGATATACGTCATTTTAAAATATAACGTTACAGACAGAAATCATTTGTTGTTGTCATCAACAACTCACATGTGTGTTCTATCAATACCAGGTGTTATCGTTTTTAAAATGTGGAACGACTTCAGTATAAGATCACTTTGAAGGAAAGGTGCGCATTGTTTCATTCGTCCCTACTGTGCGGGACGGATGAAACACAACGACATACATTTAAATAGTTTAAGTTATTCTTGTTTTTATTTAGAAAGCTTGACACTACCCTTCTTAATATGTAATTGCAAACTAATTATGTTCTTTTTCTTAATAAATAATAGTATAAATACAACTTAGCTAGCTAACTAGAAAATCTAACTGCACTAAATGCACATTTGGATCAGATATCGGCTGCCCTTTTTATGTACATATGCAGACTGTTTTCCTGGTCTACTGTGAAGATCCTGTTATTTGGCTGTGAGCATCCTGGTGGTCCAGCCTGCAGCCTAGTGGACTCTGCTCCCCTCCCGCTGTATCTAAATAAGGTAGAATGGCTGCGTTTCGGGACAAATGAAACACCTGTTTCAATCGTCCAGACAGTGACTCTTGACGTTTAAACTTTACTAGCTTCTAAACTGTAAAACTTTGACATTTAAAACTTAAGGATGTGTTAAAGTACTAACTAATCTTTTATGTGATCATGACCATGGCACGTGGAATAATAATAATTAGATAAACTGTGCTATTACTGGCTTATTATCCAGGATCTACTTTACTGACAAATTTAAGCATAGCCCCTGTAAACAATATATATCAATAATTGCTAGATATTATTGTTATCAGCTGCATCAGGCCCATTCAAAATGGCTCCCCCTGTCTCCTTTAACATTTTTAAAGCTAAAATACTATTTATACTAGGGCTGGGACAAAAAATGTTTTTATGATAAAAAAATTCATATCATTTGATATCGAAAATGATCAGGATAAATGTCAAATCATTACTTCATTATTTCTAGTTTAAAGGCTGATTTTTGATAGTTAGTGAAAGTTGAAGAAACCAGATGGTTAATTGTGGTTTTAAACTTTTGTTCATGGTCAGTGGATCGCTTCACAAATCTGAGGCAGAACATTCAGAACTATTTTGATAAAATCTGTTTTTAACAAATATGCTTGAGTAAAATAAAGTTAAATCTTTTTTGAGTCCCTTTTTTCTCAATAAAATAAATATCTTAATAGAAAAAGTAAGTGCTAATTTGTTCATGATTCAAATGAATGAGATCAAACATTTATTGAATATTTATTGAACTTAAAAGTTGCCTCTCGGCGTTTATCAATCTTGATAAATAGTTGTATTTCACTCTAATATTGTCACAATACAGTATACAGTCACAATCTGGCAAGCTACTAAGACACAGACAGACCTAGTTGCGCTTAGTGTTTCACTTCACATTAACCAGTAGTTTATTTTGAAAGTTTAACCAGACGTTGCATATACATTATTGCTAACTTGACCGCAGAGCCCTACACGTCCAAAAACGACGCCATGGGGACTTGACAATTTTACTGGGGCACAGCACATGGATACAGGGGCACGTGCCCCAGTAAAAAAGGGTCTAGCCACGCCTATGTGTTAAAGGCCTGTGATGAGGGAAACTCGCCTGGGTTTTCTTTTTCAGAGAGCAAGATCAGATAAACCCTAGATCAGTAACTCCGGCAACTGATGCTATTTCTAACCTCCCGAGGAGGTTAGGCCCACAGGATAAGTTGGAAAACTTAAAAAACTTAAAAAGGAAACTCCTCCCCTGCTGCAAAGCCTGTATAGCTCACTTAGTTAGAGTGTTGCTTTCCCAACCAGTTCTTATGAATCAGAGACAGGTTCGAATCCCAACAGGTGTTTCAACTTCAAACACCTGTGTGGTGTTAGGTTCCCACTGACTTACAGTGGTCGTTATAAAATGTGTATGTTAGTCTTTCTAAATTCAATAATTGTTTAAATGGATATCAGTGTTTCCATAAAATTGTTAATAGCTCTATATATTTCATTTGACAACAGTGGATTGGACCTCAAATGAAATATACACTGAACAAAATTATGAACGCAACACTTTTGTTTTTGCCCCCATTCATCAAGAGCTGAACTCAAAGATCTAAGACTTTTCTTTATACACAAAAGGCCTATTTCTCTCAAATATTGTTCACAAATCTGTCAAAATCTGTGTCTCATTTGCCGAGATAATCCATCCACCTCGCAGCTGATTAGACAGCATGGGTATTGCAAAGGTGTGTCTTACACTGGCCACAAGAAGTAACATCCTAGTCGTCTTCACATCTATGATTGATCTTGTGCCTTAATAATTATCCACACATATCCTCTGAACAGGCATACTTCTTACACACACCAGCTCTGACTGAAAGATAAACAAGGCTGAGAAGGTTACCAATTTTATTTGCACAGAACTATTCATATGGTCCATACTGATACGTTTTGCTTTTAACAGATGACACCCAGCCTTCCAGATGATTACGCTCTGTTTATTATAGTGACTGACCACATCCTGAGCTACACTAATAAACTACAGGTAAACTGTGGGTTTAACTTTAAATTACCCTCTAAAGCAGAGGTGTCCTTTTTATCAAGAGCCAATAAAATAATACAATAATTAGATTCAAAGGTGACTTCTGAGGCTTCCGAGTTAACTTCTTAACAGCACTGCATGGAAATAATGAGCTCTATAACGAATGATAAAGAAGTATGGCCATCTTGAAAATTATTATATGGGTTCTGCTAACAAATCAAAGTAGAAAATATAGCAACATTTTCTGACTTCTTTGCTTCATCATCTGACTTTAGTAAGTGTTATGTGAAGTTTTGGAAGGGGAAGCTAGTTTTTCTGAACTGTCAGGTACCACATCAATGCTCCTCCACTGTTTACTTGTTCACTTGTAATATCTGATGTAGGACAGCACAATGAAAAATAAATAAATGTAAAGACAGGCAACATACTGTGTAAACATCCTGTCACTTGAACTCCCACTTTATTGAGGATGCACCAGTTGGTGACTTGGTCAACACAAACAATATAAAGCCCTAAGATTTTCTGTATGTGAGATTGGTGTGATGTTCAAACATTGCTATAATCCACAGACCACACCTGGAGGAAGCAAGTAAATACAATAGGCCATTTAATTAATTCCACTCTCTTCAAATTTATAATGAATATAGAATAGGTGAGAATAGCTGCAAGACTGTGCAGTAATAGTCAAAATTGCTAGTCACATGACACGCAAGTACCAGACTTTTCACCATACACAATAACAAAGAAACAGCTGCTTCAAGCACCACTGTGTCTTCATAAAGCTCATGCACTCCTGACAACATCTTGGCATGTTTCTGATGAGACGGCAGATGGTGTCCTGAGGGATCTCCTTCCAGACTCCTTATCTGGGCATCAGTGAGCTCCTGGACAGTCTGTTGCGCTACTTGGCTTGTTGGATCCACAATCCATAACGTCCCAGAGGCTCGCGATTGGATTCAGGTCTGCAAAACGTGAGGGCACGGTCAATGGCATCAGTGCCCTCATCACCCAGGAACTGCCTTCACACTCTCTCATTCATGAGGCCGGGCATTGTCGGGTCTGAGGATTTCATCCCGATACCTAACAGGGTACCGTTGGCTAGCATGGCGAGATCTGTCCTCCAAGGATATGCCTTTTCAGACCATCACTGACCCACCGCCAAACCGGTTAGGCTGGATGATGTTGCAGGCAGCATAAATTTCACCACGGTATTTCCAGACTTTTTCATGTCTGTCACTTGTGCTCAGTGTGAACCTGCTCTCGTCTGTGAAGAGAACGGGGCACCAATGGCAGACTTGCCAGTTCTGGTGTTCTCTTGTGAATGACAATCGATTTGCACGGTGCTAGGCTGTGGGCACTGATCCCACTAGAGGACGTTGGGCCCTCATGCCACCCTCATGGAGTCTATTTCTGACAGTTTGGTCAGAAGCACACACACTAGTAGCCCGCTGGAGGCAGTGGCAGTGCTCCTCCTATTCCTCCTCGCACAAAGGAGCAGATACTGGTCCGGCTGCTGGGTTGATGCCCTTCTCCGGCCCTTTCCAGCTCTCCTTGTGTAATGGCCCCTCTCCTGATATCTCCTCCATGCTCTTGACAGCTGGGCTGGGAGACACAGCAAACCTTCTTGCGACAGCATGTATGGATGTGCCATCCTGGTTGAGCTTGACTACTTGTGCAACCTGAATGGGCTGCAGGTATCACCCCATGCTACCAGTAGTGACAAGGACACTAGCAATAATTTCTTTTGAGCAGTGCATTTCATATACAGTATGTTAAGAATATTTCGTAGGTGTCTTAATTGATGTAACAGGGAAAGGTAAGACAGGTCTAGCTTAGAGTAATTTAACTGATCCCATAAGTGTTTGACATTATAGCTTTAGGTATTTCTCAAATGTACTTGTCCT